GGAAAGAGAAACAATTGGCTATCCTAATTTGTGTTTACATTATCGAGTGTCTTATTATCAAAGTAATATGTGTGTGCACGCATGTGGCATGTGTATGTGTTCTTTACCAACATTAGATGAATTTTCAGTTAAAGATAATGAGAAGGCTTCATATTGGAAGAAAATAATAGTTACATTTGCATGGCTATTTTCTATGCCAAGATTTTACAGTAGTTCTTATATTTAATTCTCACAGCCATGCTAATGGGTGAAGGATATATCTCAATCTAAAAAAAATGGGGAAAACCAGGCTCTAAGACAGCCTTCCTATACTGTGACTATTTGTGGTGACCCCCAAAATAAAACTATTTTCATTGCTGCTTTCATAGTTATGATTTTACTAATCTAAATATTTGATATGTAACCCAAGGGGTATCACTACCCACAGATTAAGAACCACCACTCTAAGACATTTGATAAGGTTGAAAATGTCACTCAGCTAGGTCTTGGTGGACCTGGAGTTCAAGTGCTGTCCATTCAAGTGCTGTCCATTCAAGGCATCTCACATTTACGTAACTCTTTGAACGCCTTTAAGTGTCACTGATACACCAATGACCTGATTTCCATTTCTAACCTTATTGATTCCTCTGATCTCTATACTTGAAAGCTTAATGTTTGTTTCCCCATCAATATTTTCATATGAATTTCCTTGTCTCATCTAGGACATCTCAGTCAATATAGCCAGTCTATCAGGAAGCTTGTTGGCTCTTCCACAGCAATCAAGTCTTTATTCATGAACTTGACTGGAGCAAGCTTCCATCCTTGTTCATCTGGCCAGACTCCTGACTTCCAGACTCACTGTCCATCAGACAGAATGGTTTGTGAGCAGCACAAATCAGGTTATGTTTAAACCCCTAGAAACATCTAAGTTCTTCCTCAAAATCCCGAGTCTTTACCTGCTCCTTCAAGATCCTCGGATATTTACTAATGTTTGCTCTCCCGCCAAAAAAAAAAAAAAAAAAAAAAAAAAAAAAAAAAAAAAAAACCTTCAAACACATCTGCTGCTGCCCCAAACCCTAACGCATCTGTAGCCATTTGCCCTGGATGGGACCATAGCAGGCTAGGCCCCTTCTATCTTAGGACGATTGCACATGATGGCATCTCCTGTTGAGGATATTCTCCCCCAAACTTGTTTCATTTCTAGTCAGAGGAAAACTCCTTTCAGTGCAGATAATGATTAGCACCTCTTTTGGGTATTTCTTTGGTCCTTCCTTCTCTTTTTCAATTTTCTTTCAAGCTTTCAATAGAAAAGAAATTATAGATGGTGGAGATGGACGCAGTGCAAGCCCTTCTGGTTTCCACTTTCATTAAAATAAAGAATGTCATGCCATACTTCCTAGCCTCCAACACAGAGCAGACATACAGATACCATGGGGAAAATGATCCCGCCCTATCCTTAGAAATCCAGAGGCCCGGTCTGAATTTTGATTTAGTCATTGCCCACTCTGGCAAGAACAAGGCGTTTTAAATCTAACCACATTGGCATCACAATCTTCACAACAATCTTGCAAAGCAGGTCTTTCCTGTGGCTGGGTGTGTCAGCAAACATCACCAGGACGTCTCAGAAGTGCCTAGTGGGAAGAAATGTGCAGTGAAATCACCTCTTTTCCACTTACAACATGCTTGTTGATAACTATTCTAGTTTTCTTTTCAAAAAGAGTTCAAACATTTAATTTTTAATAAGGTACCAAACAGCGCTACAATTTTTTTTAAAAAAAAATAACACATTACTATGTGGTGTTTCAAAACCAAACGTGAACGTATCCCATAAAATCACACATAGGCTCATTCCCAGCACACCTAGCATGGCAAATAGTTATTACCATGCTTGTAAAATGGGATCTGGTTAATATTTCCCAAGTCAGATATACTAGCTCTGTGCTCATGTAAATCATTTCAAAGGTTAGAAGCTGAGTCTGATAAACCACCACCCAAATCCAAAAGGTGGGATATTGTAATTATTCAATCATTCTCCTTTATGAGTTTCTCATCTTCTGCAGCACAGCTCTGATAATGAATAATGAGCAGAATATGCACATGTTGATAACTTAAGGTTGTCACCTAAATGGAATGAATCATTCTCAAATGTACAGTTTCTGTGACTTAGCAGGTTCAAAACGTGTCTGTTTACATCTTCTCCTTGGTAAGGCCTTTGGGAAGTACTGAGCAGAGACCTGTTCTTGGGAGCAGTGAGAGCTGAATATTTGAAGATTTCCTTTTGGCACATTTGCCTTTCCCTAAAAGTCACAGGAATATCTACATTCCCATGAAATGCACTGAAAACCATCAAGAATAAATTCACATGTCTTTGGTGGGGGGAATAGCCATTCTTTGGTGTTCTATAACCCATTTCCTTAGTCCTAGGGAGTAAATGCAAAGCATACACCTTCTTGATTGTACTTTCAGTTTTGTTTAGGTTTAGTATTGAGAATGGATTCAGAAACACTCCAGAATGTTTTACCGATACCTGAAGATTTTGGTTCTGGAAAAGGGTAGGAGGATTATTGGGAAAGACGTTTATTTCACCTTCATGTCCCAGTTCTTATCAGACCACCAAGTGAATGGAAGCTCTATATTGGTATACAGCAAATACCATCAGAATTACTATTGGAAGCTTTCCTAAGAGTGACAAAGAGAGCCCTGGGTGGTGGCACATGCCTTTAATTGCAAAGGCATGTGGATCTCTGTTAGTTCTAAGGCAGTCTGATCTACAGAACAAGTTACAGAATAGCCAGAGCTGCTACACGTAGTCTCAACCTCCCCTCCCCACAAAATGAAGAGTGAATTCAATGGCAAATGATCCCTTGAGAGATGGGCTCCCTGGGAGACAGCCTTCATAGCATACTCTCCATCCTTGACCTTAACCTGCTTTTCTTATCACAGCGCCGATCCTCAATCCCACAGTAGAGGATCAACTTGCAAATGAAAAGAAAGCGGGCTTATTTCAGTCCAGTCACACTTTCAATTATTTCAATGAGTTTTAACACTTCCATGGTAAGCACTAAGAGAAAGACACAGCGTTCTCAATTTCCCCTTGGTAACTTTAGCCCAGAGTAAATTTATTCCCTTGTCTTCCCTCATGGACTCCACCAGATTAGAGGGGAATTGTGTGGCTTTTCTGTTTCCACTGCTGTGCATTCTTTTTTGTTGTTGTTGATTTGTTTCTCTTCCTTCCTTCCTTCCTTCCTTCCTTCCTTCCTTCCTTCCTTCCTTCCTTCCTTCCTTTCTTTCTTTCTTTCTTTCTTTCTTTCTTTCTTTCTTTCTTTCTTTCTTTCTTGGTTTTCGAGACAGGGTTTCTCTGTGTAACAGCCCTAGCTGTCTTGGAACTTTCTCTATAGACCAGGCTGACCTCAATCTTACAGAGATCCACTTGCCTCTGCCTCCCGAGTGCTAAGATTAAAGGTGTGGGCCACCACCACCAGTTTTGCATTGTTTCATAAGCTACCTATTACACACACACACACACATGCACACACCACCACCACCAAAAAAAAATAGGGTTTAAGGGGCTTGTGGATTATAGAAAGCCTGGCTATGTGACTAATATTCTCCTTCCATTACAGACCAACTCTGAGAAGAGCCACCTGGGCAAAAGAAGGGAACCATATGAAGTAATCTTTCACACTTACAATTTACAGTCCAGGAAAATTCAGCTTCATTTATAAATGTGCCATGCAAAATCCAATAACAGCCTTAATATTAGGATCTACTACTTAATATTTACATGCTGTGAATGAGACTATGAACCTCATTCTCAAACCAAGGCTTACTTAAAATTTCTATTACCTGGCTATTTTCACACTGATGTTAGTATTAATCACTTAGTGTTATTTCAGAGGGAGACAATTAGTAACAGAAACAAATAGTTAAAACTATAGTATTCCACGGTTGTCAGCATGATCTGACTTAAAAATGATTGCTTTTCAGAATATATATTTCTTGCAACGATGAGAAGATTCATAGAAACCCACTTGTAACTAGGGCTTTATTTAAAATTAAAATTCCTATTAGGCCTGAGAAATGGACTCAACTTCGGAATTAGTTTTTCTCTCAAATGTGAAAAAATGGGTAATATGTAAAAATACTACAATAATGTTTAGAGGAATATTTGGAAGGACTGTCAAGGATGAGAGAGTAAAACAAGATACAAAAGATAATGGTGGGACGTGATGATGGAATTTAATATGACAGATACATTCCCCTCCCCAAAGCCAATCCTCCTTCCCTATTAAGAAACTCTAAACTTCATTCAGAGAGTAATGTGTGTCTAGCTAAAATTTTTCCTTCCAGTACTTGCATATATCTAGGAGGATGGGACATATGACAGAATTCCAGTGAATGCTGAGAAGCTCTGGGAAAGCTTATCTTTCCCAGATATACACATTTCATCTTGTTACCTGCCTCTTCCTCCCTCTTTCCACACAGAAAGTAGACATTACAGCTAGCATCTGGGCAACATTTTTACAACTATGAGGCAGTAAGCCAAAGGAAAGAGGATAAGAAAAGCGGTAATGAAATACTAGAAGAATTTGAATTTTTGGAAATAATACGGAGACAGTCCTGAAGTGGCCATCTCCCAGATTTCTTACTAAGACTCCTTGTCAATTGTGCTTTCTGTTACATACAGTCAAGTGCACATGTACCTGATACATCAATATCCAATGACAATAAGATAGAAAAGAATGATGATTACTGAGGGAAAAATGAGGGGCAAAGATGAAATGAAATGGCAAATGACATAAAATCCTACTGAGATCATGCAATGGACCTACAACACTAATTCCTTCCTTCAGAAAAGACAGAAGTGCAGAATAAGTCATTAGGTTCAAATACAAAGAGACCCAATGCTTCAATTGGCTGAATCAAATGTAACTCTGTCCTGTGCTGTGATTGCTATTACAAAAGTACATGCATAGGCATTGAAACTGGATATTATATATCCTACAGAGAAGAGAATGGAAGAGATTTAGAATCAATTTACTATTTCTCTTGTAATCCATTAGGAGGAATTCCCATTGAGAACTCATATGCCTCACTCTAATCATGGCTCTATCTGAAAGACCTGAGAAGAGAGTTAAGTAGAAACACTGGGTAGCTGGTTTTTGAGTATTGCACATGCTACTTGGAAACAAAAACACAGTAACACAGTACAGCAATCTGGGAGCACACAGGCAATAATCCATGGCAGGTGCTAGACTGGTCTATATATCAAACACACAAGTAACCATATAAATAAATGAAGCCAAAGCTTTGGGGTTGCAAATCAGTGATGAGGCAGGTGTCCCCTCAAAGTAAGAATGCATCCTCTTATATGAGAGGAATGTCCGCACAGCACAACATGTCCCAAAAGTTCACTGTCCAGTCTAAACATATTGGTCTTCTTTAGAAGTTCACTATGGTTCACTGAACTGATACTGGTTCAGACTGATAAAGAAGCAAAACAATGGGCTTGAGAACAAAAGCAAGAAATGAGATCGTCATGAGTAGACTCATCAGGGTCTGCTTGTAGTTTTCACTGTATCCAACTTTAATTTCTTTTCTCTTCCAGTAAAGTAAGCTCAATATCTTCCCTATGGTTCCTTAACACAATAGCAAAATTGTAGGAACCAATATATAACAGTGGCATGCCGATACCCCTCTTTGTCAAAGTTTCACATGTACTCCAAAATTACAAACATCAACCTTGAGTGAAGGGACCAAAGTTTCTTGTGTTCCACATCCTCGTATAATTCATGTCATTTACACATTCCCATATGCCCTCAAAGCAGTTAGTAACTCATTAAGAAACACGGCTTGGATCACATAAGTGGTTAACGTTATAAAATGCCTACTAATTTATGGTTTGCCTTTTTAAAAAAGTTTCATCCTTCTCCCCTTCTTTCAAACAAGGCTTTCATTTCTGCTGCCCTCTCAGCACATGGTCTTTCACTGGGATCATAATGCATCATTTGATTATTTCTTTAAAAATTATACACTTATTGGTCTTCTCAAAACATTTGCAGCCTTATTGCTAATTAAACATGATGGATTCGGGGTCTTGGTTTGCCATCTGGGCCATGTGTCTCAGAACATCTTTTTTTGTGATGATTCCAAGAAGTCTCCTGGAGTGGAAACAAAACAGAAAAAAAGAAGTCAGTCTGACAGAAGAGATTCATGACCAAGCTCAGGGACAGACAAAATTGCCTAGCTTCCTTTGTAGGTAAGAAGGACCAATAGAATGTGCTCCAGCCAATGGCCTGTGTGCAAAGGTGACAGGTGCCTCTCTCAGGTCTCCTGTGCAGCTCTCTTGTCTTCCACTCTCCTCACCTGGCATCCAGGGACAACAGAATCAGTGAAGGACTCTGATGCACAGAACACTGGTTAATAAGTCATGAGACTGAAAGACATGGATCCCTGAATGACTGTGGCGAAGAGCCTGCAACTAGGATGGAATAAGTGAGAAAAATGATTCTTTCTTTCTTTGCTTGTACATTTTGAGACAGGCCTATGCAGGCCATGCCTTAAACTTGAAGTCCATGTCAGACTGAAATTTCTGATCTCCCGGCCTCAGTATCTCAAATGTAGGATTATAAACACACATTCACACACACACACACACACACACACACACACACACACACACACACATATATATATATACATACATATATATGATTAGCATAAAAAATAAATGGTTATTGCATAAGTCACTGATATCACAAGTTTGTTTGTTACACAGGCTGTGAACCTACAGTGACTAACACCATGCCTTCAATTTTAAGATTGTAATCAGTTTATAAAGAGCTATTAAAGCTATTGTCACAACTTGGCCACACCATAAAAAGTCTGAATATAAGGGTTTTCTTAGAATAAGAAATTAAGGTAGACATGGTAGTATATGCCTATTAATACTAGCACCAAGCAAGCAGAGACAAGAAGAATGCCATATGTTTGAGATTAGCCTGACCTACAGAGGGAGCTCCAGGCAAGTCTGGGGTACAAAGAAAGACTGTATCCAAAAAAAGTATTCTACTTTTAATTTTTTTGTTACTAGATGGGTAAAGTACAACATACACTCTGACCAAATACACATATCATCTCCTCTTCTAAAATTCCCTTGTATTCAATTCTGAAGAGTGTCAGTCTCTAGGGTTTGTTTTCTCTCTCTCTCTCTCTCTCTCTCTCTCTCTCTCTCTCTCTCTCTCTCTCTCTCTCTGTATGTGTGTGCAGACAGGGACACACACACACACACAGAGGCACATGCAAATACATATGCGCGGTACATGTACTTCATTGTGTACACGTGTGTGCCAAAGCCAGAGGTTAACTTATGGGTCTTCCTTCATTGCTAAACACCTTATTTTTAAAGACAAGTCTTTCATTGAACCTAGAGCTCATTGATTCAGCTCGGCTTGAGCAAATGAGCTTCAGAGACCCTCCTGCTTCCTGCTCCATCTACCCTATAGTGCTATGGTTGCAGATATGCAATACTACACCCTGCTTTTATGATGTTAATCAGCATACAAACTCACAATTTCACAGCAAGCACTTCACCAACTTAGCCAGGAACCCAGTTCCCAGAGTTGTTGTTATAGGTTTATCTGAACTGTACAAACCTAGAGACTGGGATGCAAATAGGGCTCCTGGATGATACTATGCCCATCTGAACCAACATTCATGCCAACCTTGCCTTCATTCTTCTATTAAATACTTGAATAATGGTCTGTGGAATCAAATCTTCTCCCTTTGGTGAAGTGAATTTTCCTACAAAGACAATGTGAACAAATTTCTTTGGAAAACATTCTATCACCTAATAAGTTTGCTCCATCTCCATCACAATGGGAAAAAAAAGGATCAGGAAGCAAGCTCCAGCAGCCTCTCCTCAGAATTATAGAGCAATATAAATGACAGGCCTCTACTTAATAGGGCTGTGTTAAGCCTCATAAAAATTAGAAATCACAGATACAATGCACTGTCATTTCACTCAAGCCTAATTAAGCCAACTCATGTTGTGCTACCTGGTAGTTAATATGAAAAAGCTACATTTGTCAAGGGGTGGCCATGTCAGCTACAGCTGGTGAACAAATCAGGCTGTCGCTGATCACACTGGACCTTAAACAATCTAGGAACTGTGGTATCTTTTTGCTGCTATTTTCTCAAGGCAATCCTCCTGTCTCAGGTTCCTCTGTGTTGGGAATACCAGGCATAAGCCACCACACCCAGCAAAATATGTACCTTCAATGTCTCACAACACAGTAAAATTCTATTGAAGCTGTTTTGTGGAACAGAAACGCTGCTCTGGCAAATCTGCCAAGATGACCTGCAGTCTTGGAATCACTCAGCCTGTACTGCTGTAACAAAATGCCACAGACATGGTGGCTGAATTAAAGTGTAAGATCAAGGTGCCAACAGAGCAGTTTTCCCAAGGCTTATCTTCTTGGGGGACAGATGGGGACCATCATGCTCCCGCTGTGTCTTCATATGGCCTCCTCTCTGTTTATAGATACTCTTTGGGTTCTTCCTCTTTTTTAAGGGACACTAGTCCTGTTGGATTAAGGATCTACCAAAATGGCCTCATTTAACCTTAAGGCTCAGTGCTTCTCCTCACACAGCCATACTAGGGTTAGGGCTTTACTATAGTAATTTAAAGGGAGACAATTCAGTCCTTCCCAGGACTTCAACTGTCTATATTGGATAACTGTGATAAACCATTCCCTCTGAATGCTTCCCTTTCTACATCATAGGAAATTCTAAAACTTATATAATACGTTGGACTGGCTTAAGTGAACTTATTGGGTTCCACATATGTTGGTCTACTAATATGTTGGTCTAGTCCTCAAACAACCTAATGGAACTAAACATTGATACCCTTCTTGTAATGGCATGCTAGCTTCTCCTGGGAATCCATCCACAAGTGTGACCAAAGCCAAGGGAAGTGCGGTATTCTGGGCTTCTTACATAGGAATGAGCCTGGCTTCAGCTAGTAACTCCTGAAAATCCTCTTTTCAAACTTGATTTGTCTCAGATGTTTGGGGATCAACTGCCATAATCAGGGTCCCTGCATTCATCCAATGAGAGGTGATGATTTTCCCAGTGACACTGTTATCCAGTATTAGGTCAATCACCATGCTTCAGTAGAAATATCACTGAATCCTCAATATTGCCCTTGGGTCTTCATAGTCATATGTAGCTTTTGAGACCAATATTCCAGAGGCCTGAGTCATGTCAGAGGCTTGAATGCCCCAGGGAAAGAAGACAGTTTTCCCCTCGGGGTCAGATATAATTTGTTCTCATTCTGCTGATACTAATTAGTTTCAAGAATACAGCAGAGCTAGCAAGGGGATTTGATGCTGGGAGAGGTCACTGTTTAAACCCAACTGGGAGTGTCTAGTGAGGATCCCTCCTAGATGGCTCTAGCTGAATATGTTCTATCCTTGATCTAAATGATACTCTGTACTCTTCTGCACTCCAGCAAGGCTTTACTCATGACTTCTCTACTTTGATACTTGTGGTAATTGGGGCGTTCTTTGTAGGGAGTACCCTGTCCTGTACATTACTCAGATTCTAACTGCTACTTGCTAGCAGGACTGCTACTTACCCCTGCCCTCCCCCACAAATGTAGCAACCAAAATTTCTTCAGATACTACCAAATGTTACCCCTTATTGAGAACCTACTGTCCAAACTAAAAAGAAGGGAGGGAAGGACTAAATTAATTAAGTGACCTCATTACTAAGCAACCCCACTTCTGGTTATATAGTCAAGAGAACTAAAAACATGTCTGCTTAACAACTTACACACTAATCTTATTTCCCAATAGACCCAACTGGAAACAGCCCAAATGTCTAGCAATAGAAAAATAAATAGACAAACAGTGGTTTATCCATACACTGAAAAGTTATGCCAGGCAGTGGTGGTGCACACCTTTAATCCCAACACTTGGAAAGTAGAGGCAGGCCTCTATGAGTTCGAGGCCAGCTTGGTCTACAAGAGCTAGTTCCTTTACAAACCCCAAAGCTACAAAGAAACCCTGTCTTGAAAACCCAAAAAAAAAAGTTATTCTGTAACTAAAAACATAGATGAATCTTGAAAATACTATACTAAGTGGAAAAGCCAATCACAGAAGGGCATACAGTATATTACCCCCTTGATATGACACATCCACACAGCTAAGATAGTAGATCAGTGATTGCCTAAGACTAGTACAAGAGGTGACAGCTAAGGGATACAGGCTTTTCTTTAAAAGTAATGGGAATGTTTTGGCTTTGATGGTGATGATGGATGCAAAATTCTTTTTCTATTCTAACTACCTAATTATATATTTTAAATGGGTGAATTGCAGGTTATGCAGTTATCTCAATAAAGCTTTAAGAGGGCCAGCAAGATGACTTAGCAAATAAAAGTGCTTGCTGTGCAAGGCTGAGACCTGGATTTGATTTCTGGAACCCAAGTGAAAAAAAAAAGTCAGGATACAGCAGCATGCATCTGTAACCCCAGCATTTCTACAGCAAAATGAAAGACAGAGAGAGGATAAGCACCTGGGGATGCTTAGAGAAGACGGTAATGTAAAGTCCACAGCAGAACAGAAACAAGAGAGACTCTGCCTCAAATGAGACGACAGGAGAGAAACAACTCCCAAAAGTTGTCCTCTGGCCTTGACACATGATCTGTGGTGCACATGTACTCATACACTGCCTCACAAGCATATAATATGCACATTCACAGCCAATTCTTATTCTTATTAATAAGTATTAAATTATCATTATTATAAAAATTTCATCTGTAAAAGAAAAGGGAATCAATAGAAACAAAGACAGGATCACATGGACTTATACAAAGTCCACCTCTCCGTTCAGATGCTAAAATCTGGTGATGGGAATAAAGGACAGGTGAAGAACTCTAGTGTAAGGGACCAGTTGCTGGAAGTGGAAAAGCATGGTTATTTTCAAGTGTTAGGAATCCGGTGTTCTTTCAAAATTAAAAAAGAAAATAGTTACAAAGCTAATTGCATACAGTTATAATATGCCACTAAGTAAACCATGATCAAGAATGAAATATGAGCAGATCAGCTAACAGGGACAGAGCATTCATAGTTGCTCTTCTGGTGGCAAGGGCCCCCCAGCTGAGCATCCTCAACATGTAAACAGTGCTTCAGCTTAACAAGCTCACTCATCTTCTGTTTTATGCGAAAACACAGATCATCATGACTACCTCTGTAACACTTGCCTTGGGAGATGTCACTTAGACTGGATTCCTTATTCCTTATTCCATAGTAGATGACAAGTTCCTTAGCTTTTTTTGTGTGTGTGGTGCTTAGGATTGAACTTAGAGACTCACACGTGCAAGGTAAGCACTCTACTACAGAATCATGTTCCCCATCCTCTAAAGTTTTTTTTCTTTTGAGATAGGATCTCACTAAGTTGCCCAGGCTGATCTTGAACTCACTATGCAGCCTAGGCAGCTTTGACTTTGCCATTCTCCTGACCTAGCCTCCTGAGTACATGGGATTTCAGGCTGGAGCCACTCATCCAGGGGACTTTTAATTTTAACACTTGGTTTGAGTGGTGCTGGGCATGGAACTCAGAATCATGTGCACACATTAAGTGATGTACCACTGATATATATCTCTGGCCTTCTATTTTAAAAACCCTTTGAGCCTTCTCCAGTTTTCAGCCACAATGAATGCTCAGTAAAAACACTAACTACAGTAATATCTCCTTGCAAAACCTATGGTCACTATCATTTGCAAGGTGATGAAACCATACATACATACCCTTCAATTGTCTATCTAGTCTGGACCTTGTTTTATTATCTTTACCCTTGAAACAGAAACCAAAGATCTAATATAGCCATGCGTGGTAACATGGGCCTATAGTCTCGGCTCATGGAAGGCTGAGGCAATAGGATCACTTGAGCCCAGAAACTTGGGGGCCAGGCTAGATAATTCGGTGAGATCAGTACCCTAACCACTACCACCACCACTCACAACAACAACAAAAATCAAGCATTTATAGCTCTGAAAACCTCTTCAAGTTCTGTGACTATAAAGTATGCAAGTTAGGTTGGTTCCAGCAGCGCTGAGGAAATATGCGTTCTAGCTCTGCCTTGGCTTTGAGCATAAACTACACCCTGACCTGCAATGGCAAAATATCAACCCAGAAGGAAGCAACATCAAATCTAGCAGGCGTCATTAGTGGCAGTGAATGTCCTGTTTGATTTAAATAAAGTGTTTGAACTCCTAGCTACTTTCTGTGGCACTCTGAAAATCAGCGAATTTGAAAATGGCCAGATTTATGCCAAAGGACCTAAACTGCAGACTGAAGCAGCTGAAGTCTTCTGAGACAGCTGCCCAGACCCCTGATTGGGGTGCACCCAACAAGGATAAGGGAAACCTAAAATAATCACCCAGACTTACTTTTCCTTTCTAGAACAACTAGGGGTAAAAACTCACCCAAACTTCATCTTAGTTCCTGAAGACTTCTTAGATTACCACACTCTGTGTACAAAGCACCTCTGGTTCCTAGTCTAGTTTTATGAAAATTCTGGGCCCCAGGCCCAGGGATAGCCTGCAGACAATCAGGTCAATGGACAGGCTCAGACCCTCATCCACTAGAACAGGGAAGGCACATGGCAATGGGACGCATCAAAACCATGAGCTAGCTTGAGCTGTGCCTGCCCTGGCTGAATGCCCAAGGAGAAGATGAAAGGCCTCACAAACAAGGATCCCTTGCCAGCACTATTGTATCAGCATCTGTATTTGTTTAAAACATGTAGAGCCAAAGAGAGAGAGGGAGCGTCGTTTTCTCTTAGAACATTCAGAGCCAATTTCAGCACCCAGATCTTCACAGGAAAACCTCATGGGGCTCCAAGAGGTATAAGTGGGCATTGGGGGCAGAATTTCCTGACTGAACTAGAAATTCCAATGATAACTGACATCAGCCTATTTTCGAGGAAAGGAGAAACTGCTATACACTTGAGATGGCCTGGGCAATCATTGTAGTATTTACTCCATGCTGAAAACCCAAGTGCAGATATTCATTTCAGTGGTTTTCAAAGCGGGATCCCCAGGAGCTTGTGCATTCTCTGTATAGGAAGGGGATTCTAGTGTGTGTTCAAGTGCGAGGAAGTAGAGAGTACCTCCAAAATCCATGGGCAGTGTGATCTGTAGCCTCAGTGAGAATGAAGAAGAAACCTGTCCTGCCAATTCGATGTTCTACAGGTAAATGTGCACACTGAACGTTTGCAGTCTGTACCCCTGTTACTAGATCAGCAGGAAGAAGCCAAATGAATAAGATTCCTTAATACTTAGCCCAAGATCCTTCTACTATGACACTACTTTTTTTTTAAGTCAAATTTGTGGTTTTGGTGCAGGAAATGTGTTGTACACTGTAGAATATTTAGCAGCACTGACTCTGGAAAAGTAGACTATGTTAGACCTCTGGAATCTATTTGTAGATCACACACACACACACACACACACACACACACACACACACAAATACACACACACATACTGGTCATCCACCCACATTCTGTCCTCATGTGAGAGTTAAGAGCCACACCCAACCTGCTTGCTCTGATGAATTCCCATTCCCTCCCTTGACTCCTTCACAGTAACTCAAGAGCAACAGCCCTTCAGACATCCACTTCACAGCCAACTTTGTTTTTCCCCCCAAGGGAAAATATTTATTGTCATATTGTATTTCCCAATGATTTATCCAGTGTAAAATGTACAAACTTACTGTGTATTTTAGATTCACATTCTTTTAAAATGATGTATGGTTGATGAAGGTTTCTAGAACTATGCACCTAAGTCTATTTTCCCCAGAGTTCTTGCAGTTTGATTGCTGCTGCTTTTTGGCATACTACTAGGGTTGTGAAGAGCTTTTATGCCATGGAATTTGATAGCTTGATGATATCATTGCTGAAACTTTTGCTTTGTGTTCTTATAGGGCAGGAAATCAACAACACAAATATCAAATGGCCACGGTAATGCCTAAGGTATAGTTCCCTGGGGGCCATTCTTCAGGCTCAGAGGTGTGGCTCAAGTTCAATAGCCTCGGAAGAATGTGCAGAGAAAGGTGTCCAGTCATCTGTCCTCTCTACTCCCAGCTTGGAGGCTGGAGATAAGAGAACTGCTGTATTTCTTCCTAGGCCAAGTGACACATAGCAGAAGAAACAAGCTGCTCTTTAGCTCCTCCCTTTGTCTCAACCTTCAGACTGAACACAGGCAACAGGATAGCCTAGAAGGCTATAGTCTAGTCTAGAAGTTTCTCCCTCTTCCCTCTGCTCGAAATTCCCAAGCTTCTTGTACATTTTCTTCTCAAGACATTCAACTCAGCTTAGTGGTATCATCTCTCAAGGACTGGGCCACTCCAATGGAGTTCCTTAAAGGCAGACACATTAAAGCTGGCCATAGTACACATATTTTCTTCCCTTGTCTGGATACTCACCCACTCCGTGTCACCAGGCATTGCCGGAGCCCCAGTTTCCGGAAGATGTCCACAACAGTCTCCATGGGTGTGTGGTCTGTGACAGTGAAAGGGCTCAAGTTCAAGATACGCCTCAATTTCAGGGGATGTGGGCTGTTAGCAGGCAGCTCAGGGGGCTCCTCTGTGAAGTACATGATGGAATTGCTCACAATGCCCTCTTGCCTCTGTCTGGCATTCTCTAGAATAATGGCAAAGAAAAAAATGATAAGACACACACAAAAAATCTTGTACTTAACTACCCCACCTGCTCTTATACAGCGTCTCACAAAGGGGAGTTCTGAGGGCAAAAGGCACAGTCATAACAAGTACTTCAGCCAAACATATGTGAACCTGGCATCCTCACATGCTGTGAGAGGGGGCCCCTGCTGTGACAAGAATGTTCACTGCCAATACCTTGCAAGATAGGCCCCCACCAACATGGCCTTTTGCAAATGTCCACTGTTTTTTTCCTAGACTCCAGAGCACTCCAAAAGACCAAAGGTCCTTCATCCTTGCTTTTACACCATCTCACCATGGACTGAAGTTCATGAGGACAAGAAACCTCATTTCACTGCCCAATAACCTTAGCACATTGATTTTTACAAACGAGCTTACAACTGGCCTAAATGGCATTATGAATCCTAGAGGAATGAGAAACCAATAATACTTGTCCAGGCTCACAGCCCAGAAATGCAGCTCAATCCCAAATATGACCCTGGGGACCAAAGAAACAAGCCCAGAAAAGCTACATCCCTCTGCTTCTTAATTCTCCTCTCTTTAAAATGTGCCATTTCATAGATTTCACAAAGAAAGACAGTAAAACTGTTATGGTGGCAATTAGTCTATTTCTGTCTGTAGGCAAGGCCATATGAAGCTAAAGAGAAAGTAGAGTAACCGGAATTCATTAGAAATACAGCTTAATGTAGTGCTAGAAACCCAAGCTATTTTAAGTCACACATGAAATAAATCCATCGGTCTCAAGATATTTCTCCAAGGCCATTTTCCTTCTCTTGGAATTTTAATCTTCCTTTTAGTTCATGGGAAAAGGTTAGGGAAAATGTACAGCAGGGCCTGCCTTAAAAAATGAATTCCAGTACAATTCTTAACCTTCTCAAAGACTACTATTCTCCTATATTGTTCCTTCAGAAATAAAATTCTTACTGCCTCCTCTAAGAGCATTTAGTGCAATAGAGTACACTAATGGAAAACTGGCGGCATTTGGAGTCAGGCTGAGTCTGAAAGGGGGGCTCTGTTGTAAAGAGGAAAGGAGGACCTGCTGGGCAAATGCCTGCACATTATACGGGTCAGGTTGAATCCTGTTATATCAAATGGGATGTGATTCAACCACAAATACCCAATGACACTGATGTGCATGTTTTCAACTGCAGGTCCTACATAATCCACACTACAGGCTACACACTGTGCTCTTGTTTCCTAATCCAAGGGGTTCTGTCTTAAAGCTCTCAGGCACAGAGGCCATATTCAGTACATACTTATTTGCTCATTTCCACAAACCAATATATTCTCTTAAAGCCCTACATAACATAATTTCCATCCACTTCAACAATCATATTTGAACATCAGGATTGGATCAAGCCACAAGCCTTAATCAAGAACTGATCACATGGATTTGCCAAGTCCCTCATAAAACCAACCAGCCCAGATGCTGAAATAAATAGCAAGCTCATGTTTCCTCAGAATCTACTGATACTGTTTGAGCCTTGATAATAACAGCTACACATTCAATGAAGAAACCTTGATAATAACAGCTGCACATTCAACGAAGAAACCTTGATAAATAGCTACATATTCAATGAAGTCTTGCACACCAGCATATCATTTTTTGCCAAGTTCTAAGCATGCAGTAGGCACAAAACATTTTGTTAATGATTTATTTTTGACAGGTGGTGGTGGTTCATGCCTTTATTCCCAGCACTCAGGAGGCAGAGGCAGAGGCAGGCAGATCTCAGTGAGTTTGAGGCCAGTCTAGACTACAGGGTGAGTTCCAGGATATCCAGGGCGACACACACGCACATGTGTGTGAGAGAAGGGAGGATCTAGAGAGAGAGAGAGAGAGAGAGAGAGAGAGAGAGAGAGAGAGAGAGAGAGAGAATTTATAGAGGCCAGAAGGAGGCATTGGACCCTCTAGAACTGGAGTTACATATAGATAGATATACTGGCAGTTGCAAGCCACCTGACATGGGTGCTGAGAACTCAACTTGGATCCTTTGGAAGTTTAGCAAGTGCTCTTAAGTTGCTGAGTCATCGTTTTAGCCCCAACACAAAACGTTTCTGTCACATGCATGCATATAAGCATGAATGGATAAAATCTACTAAATGTCTTTGTCGTGAAGAATAGAGCCTATTTCATGGAGGAAGGAGGCATTAGAAAGGAATGTCCAGGGGCTATCCACCACCAGGCAAGGATTTTAACCATCAGGTAGGGTAAGATAGGAATCTGAGCTGTGCTTCTTGCTATTCTGGGATGACAATTGTTGCTCCTTTCACAATGGCTCTCCTAGGTCACTTTGAAACTTTGAAAGGTTTACATTAAGGTTTCAAACTCTAGAGAAGGGGGTGCTATACATATACCTCTGAGTCATATCTTCAATCTTCAAACATACTTTTTTTAACACACAAACGACATGAAGAAAATGCACTGAATATTAGCAATGATGGCCCTTTTGAACAGTAGTGAGAATGAAGCTACTGCATGTACTGTCTTTTTAGGATCCTAGTCTATTTGGATGCATACCTTGCTAAACCTGGATGGAGTGGGGAGGGCCTTGGACTTCCCACAGGGCAGGGCACCCTGTTCACGCTTAGGACTGGAGGGGGAGGGGCAAGGGGAAAAGGAGGAGTGGTGGAGCAGGAAGGAAGTGGGAGGAGGGGAGGAAGTGGAAATTTCGATTGGTATTATTTATAAAGTAATAAAAAAATAATCTGCTGAAAAAAAGAAATCATTAGCAAAAGAATTCCAATTTTTTTCAATAACATAAGAGCTTGAATTACCTTTACTTTTAAAATGTAATAAAAACTTCATTTTTAAATTTTTGAGAGTTCAAGCACTTAAATGTTTCTTTCAGTGTTTTTACTGTAGAAGGCTTCATCATGATATTGTACTAGAACTAGTCTGGGTGGACACAGTTCCTTTAAAAATGATGTATATTGGACTTTCCACAGGGCAGGGAACCCTGACTGCTCTTCGGACTGGAGAGGGAGGGGGAGAGGAGTGGGGGGAGGAGGAGAAGAGTGGGAGGAGGGGGAGGGAAATGGGAGGCTGGGAGGAGGCGGGAATTTCTTTTTTTTTCTTTCAATAAAAAAAAGAATCAAAAAAATGATGTATATTTCATGAGCACCTACTAAAGCTGCTCGACTTCATATTCCACTTTCCAGCAGCAAGAGTGTCAGATGCAAAGAGGGTAATAAATACAGTGTTGGGGAAATGAATTTCACATAATGGGACTGATAAAGAAAAATTTAAAAATTAGAAATAAGCAAATACCCACAAAGTCTATGAGTGGCTTCAAAGCAATGATTCTTAACTGGATTCAGATTTGTCCCCAGTCTTAAGAGAATTCGGTAATGTCTGGAGGCCCTTTGGGCTGTTACAAAATGGAAAGGGGGGAGTGCCACTGGATTTTAGTGGAGAGAAAGCAAGAATGCTATTCAAAACCCTACAGTGCGTCGGACAGTCCCAACCACATCCAAATGTCAGTGGTATTAAGGTTAAAAGCCTTTACTTTAGAGTAATTGCTTCCAGTGAGGCAACGCTCTATCATTCACTTGGTTAAGAATGCTTCCATAAAACAAACACAATTAACAAGGAAGATTAAAATGGAAAATTGGAAGCAACCACTCTTGCGCTAAGTAGCAGAATGACATGATTTAAAGACTACATAGAAAGAAAAGCAGATTATTCTATTAGATACTATCCACCGAGGCGTGGAAAAATCTTACAGACGCTGTGTATTTTAACACATAGCAGAAAGTAATTAACACCACTATTCCACATGACCCATTCCAATAATTAACAGTGCTTCCAGACAGAAACCTCTACACTTAAGCGTCTGTCTGGCATATCTGATACCTGTCTTCTCATTTGGTCCTGAAGGCGGATCCCTTTATGCAAGTAAGCATCTTCCATATGCTGGAGAATCATTATTAAGTCATCCACCAGATGAAAAACTTGCGAGTTCCCTAAACTCTTCCCCATAACTCTAACTTTCCATTCCTTTAATCATCTCTGTGGCTTCCCACTGAGTCCTCTTGGAACCTGTACTTTCTTAATTGCAGAAGCCAGGACTTGAAAACTCTGAGCCCTGCTGAGAACAGAAGGATCTTCATATTTGCAAAGAGTAATGAGAGGTAAAATCCACTTGCCAGGAGTTTGAACAAGGGTCACACACAGGGCCCCACTGGCTAAAAAACTCTGATGGCCAAGAGTTGGTGCTAACCATCATTCTCTAATATAAAGGCAATGGCTGGGTTCTGGCATTCCAGAGAAAGATTATGAACGACAAAACATAATAACGCATATGTGTGAAAACACTATTAGGAGAGCCATTACTTTGTTTGCTAATGTAAAAAAAAAAAGATTTGAAGTTTTAGAAGAAAAGAACAGATTGGAAGAAAATCCTTATTTTGCTTATTTCTCATTCTTTACTCATGATAACTTTCTTGAAAGTTCCTTGCAAAAGCTCTGCTTCTAATCCCCTTAAAAGTAAACTTGGCATGGGAGAGTTTTTAGCAGAATGTTTAATGTCCTATCCTGATAGTCATACAAGGGCATATAATTCCTCAAATACAGGCCTTGAATCTCACCACCAGAATGTGGTGATCCCTCAGCTTCCATGGCTTAGGAAAACAGCTTGTCTGATTCCCTGGAGCAAAATACCCCTCGCCTTTCAGCAAGTCGTGGAAATAACAGCTTCTGCACTATGATGGGCCTAATCAAAAGCACAGAAATATGATTTGCACTGCATGGTGCCTCTTCAGATATTCCAAACATAGCTTCTGAGGGGGTGCATGCTTGCAGAGCTTAAATTTCCTCCCCCGCCAGTTGATGCCAATTATCGCTTCCCACTTGATTACAGTAATGGATTTAACCAAAATTAGTAAGATGTCTCTTAGCAGGTGTGCCTGTAGCAACACAATTGGTAATGGATTATGTGACATTTATTATTTCAGGTTCTAAACTCAATCTTTGCATCAAAGATTTTTGGGGGGTTGAATGCATTTTAAAGGCAACTGATTATATTATTTTAAAACAAATCCAACCCTTCTTAAACAACTTTTTAACGATCTTATTATTTGTTGGGCAATATTTACCCCTCAAGGCACTTCCCTGTTCCAAGGCAGGACCTATATAAAGAGAAACATCTCTGAGCACTCATACAGGAATTTGCCATTGTTCCTAAAATGTAAACTCAAACTTTGTTTTCTGTGTGAGTTAACCATTAAAGTTAGAAGGCAGCAAGCACACTACACAAACATTTGGATAGCTTTAGTGGAAGATATCTTAAATATATTTTAAGCTATTTAGTACGGGGAAAGGGTTTTAAAAATAGAAAAGGAAGTGCCTGGGAAATAGGAACAAAGAGCCAGACCAAAGAGCAGTCTGGTGAAGATGTGTTCACAGTGAGGTAATCAGCAGTCAGGCAGGAGAAAGAAGTTCGCATTGTTACACTGCAGGGACATTCAGAAAGATGTGGTGGAATGTAACACTGTCCTATGGGCAGGAAAATTGTGCCAGAGGTTTGTCCCCATGTGATATAGGGGTATTTCACAGGTCATGGAGCAAGATTGCTGATGGGCAGGTCTTGATGTTTGTCGTGTATGAGAAGATGGACTACACTGGTCTTTGCAACCGCTTACATCCTGAGGTCCACAGAACTTCAGTCCTCTGAGGCACATTATTTCTCCTTGCCTAGAGCTCTCTCTATAACCCTTACCCAGGTCTACCTCTTGCTTTCCTTCCAGTGTAGCCATCCCTGGCGAAAAGGATCCATAGATTATCTTCCTTGAACAGCCTGTCTTTGGAATATTCCACCCGTATATCATTCCTTTCTCTGTTACCAAAGGAAAGAGCCTGACCCTCGGGGTGATTGACTTCAATTCAAACACTAGGAAAACCTAATCACATCAAACTAATTTCTAGTGATGCTGCTTGCTAACCCACATAGGCCCCAAGTGGTTGGATTGGAAATAATGGCAGAGACTGAAGCAAAGACTTGTGGGGTACCAGAGAGAACTCCCACACTTAATTGGGGGTGACTATGCTACCCAAAAGTCCATTTTTGACATAAGCTATGTTGTTTAACTTTGTTCTCAAGCATCCCTTCCTTTCAGCTTTAGTCAAAAATTCCTTTAAAAACAGCAGCAGCAACATAACTCCCAGCAGGAATAGACTTCCAGTGGCTGCCTGTACCCACAGCAACTACTTTCTAACCAGGGATATCTACCCCAGGGCTTGAGTTTAAACCTTTAAACCTTGGCTCTTCACAATGTGAGTTGGTGGCAGAAACACTGACATGCCTGGGAAGCTCAGAAGGACTACAGATTCTCAGCCTCCTGCGGGCCATATTAGTTCATTTAGAATTTATATCTTCTTTTCTTTTTTGGTGTTTTGAGACAGGGTTTCTCTGTGTTGTCCTGGCTGTCCTGGAATTGACTCTGTAGATGAGGCTGGCCTCAAACTCATAAAGATCTACCTGTCTCTTCCTCCACAGTGCTGCAATTAAAGGTATGTGGCACCATCACCCAGCTCAGAATTTGTATCTTTTTTTTATTGAAACAATTTCCGTCTCCTCCCCGTCTCCCATTTCCTTCCCCCTCCTCTCACTCCTCTTCCCCCCCCCCACTCCATTCCCCCTCCCTCTCCAATCTGAAGAGCGGTCCGGATTCCCTGCCCTGTGGGAAGTCCAAGGTCCTCCCGCCTCCAGCATCCAAACAGGCCAGTTCATGCAGTAGGATCAAAACCCAGTGCCATTGTCCTTGGCTTCTCAATCAAAGCTTGGAAGACTCTGGCTTTTTAAAAAAAATTTTTTCATTAAATGTGTTTGTACAACCACATAATCACAATGAGTGCACTGTATTTACATCACTTCTACCCCTTCTTCTCCCCTTCCAGCTCCTCCTATGTTTCTCTGCCATATCCTCCTCTAAGTTTCATGTTCCCTTCTTGTATAGATATTACATATATGCATATACATATGTATGCACACACAGCCCATTGACTCCAATTAGTGTTGTCCATTCGTGCACAGGTTTAGGACTGACAACTTAGGATTGAGTGACATTTGGGGGCTTGTCAAGGAAGCCCCTGACTTAGTGAACTCCCTGAGACCCATATGCAGATTCGAGGGCCACAAAAGCTACCATTAGGCTCTGAGGGAAAGGTAAGAGTCTCCCTGTTCATACTCACTTATAGCCAAGATCAAAGGAAAGGTGAGAGCCTCCCTGTCCATACTCACTTATAGCCAAGATCAGCTCTCGCCTCTGGGCAAAGCCAATGAGACGCTCTGAGTCTCTGGAGACCACCACAGGAAAGCCGTTGTAGTCTGTCTCTTTGATGAGTGTCTCCACGTCCTCCACAGTCATGCTGTCCTGGGTGAGTACCGACAATGGTGGTTCTCCCCTCCGGGGCCGCATCACATCTGTGGCCAGGGTACGGTGGGTGAACTCATCCTTCACATCGAGAAATGGGTACCCATTCAGATGGATGTGAGCTTCATAAATCCCTTCTTTCCCAAAGGCATCAGCCACCCACTTGCTGGTGACAGCAGCTGCCATCAGGGGCACAATATACTCCAGGCCTCCAGTCAGTTCAAACATGATGACTACCAGTGACACCGTCATCCTAGTCACCCCACCTAAAACAGAAAACAGTGAGATGTGACAGCTCAGCCACAGACCCCATGAGAATGTGATTCGTGCAAACAGACAAGCTCACAGAACAGAATTTCACCCCAGGCAAGCTCTCTAATGAGAACTTTCTGTCCATCTCATACTTGTTCCATGAAGTCAGTCCCACATGATGCCGGGGCTCAGGGAATGTTAAACCCAGCTTTGCATCAGGGACCTGTATTGCTCCACAGGGAGCTCTACTCCCAGGAACATGGGTGCCTATTCTCCCAGTTAATGTGCCTGACCCTTTGATGAGAGGGTCCTACCAGGCTAGCCAGGCTCCTGACAGTGCAAGCAACTCAGAAGCCAAGAAGCTGGAGAGATTATTATAATATTGAGTTGGACAGGGATCAGGCTTTAAATCCCTAGGTATTGAAAGGCAATTCCCACCAAATCCTACTCCAATAAACTTAAACCAGGATCTCTTAACCTCTGTACATGAAATATTTGGGGCTGGGCTATTCTATGTTATCAAGAAGGTGCTATGCTTGAAAGCTAAGCAATCGCTGTGCCTGCTACCCACTACACACAAGTGGCACTTATAGTTATGAAAAGGAAAAGTGTCTCCAAATATTACCAGAGGCAGAATCACTGCTTGCTTAGAAGCCATATTCTAGATGGGACAGCTATAAGACAGTAGAGATTTCATCACCATGGGCTCTGGATGGCTGGACAGAGGAGAATCCTTCTGCTAACACTTGAAGGCGTGTGTGTGTGTGTGTGTGTGTGTGTGTGTGTGTGTGTGTGTGTATCTGTATGTCTGTGTGTCTGTGTGTGTTGCACAAGACATGAGCTACTAAGATGTAGGAATTTGCTTGTTATCAGAGGATAGCCTAACCTTATCCCTAGTGAAGCCATCTCTTCTTTCTTGTCTGACTTCTAAGGGAGATCAGCACCCTGCCCTCTTCCTTCCCCACCTATGGCTGTACCTAGACAGGCTGCAGCTCCCACCATCGCATAAAGTCCTGGTGTGACACAGTCTGCTCCAGGCCTGCACCAGTTCCTGAAGATGATCCAGTCATGGTGATGGTAAGCCAGCTGCTCTACACCGATTCCCACCATCCGGCCTGCCATGGCTCCTACAGCCATGCTGGGGATGAAGAGGCCTGAAGGAATCTCAAAGGGGCACAAAGAGAAAAGGTAGCCTGAGAAAAGGAGGCCCACTTCTACTGCCCAGTCCCAAGGAGAGTGAGAGTCCCCCACCCCATTTGCATGTGGCTTGGGTCTTCAAAGGAGACACAGCTCTTCAAAACAAGTAAGCCGGGAAAAGGTGAGACAAATGATTCGACCTGCTCAGTTGCTTAGTTGTTGAACTCCACTGCAGCTCAAAAAGAACACAGTTTGACACTTTCATTTCCTCTCCTTCAAAAGCCAGCCCCTCTGCCTGCTGTGCATCAAAGAATGATAAGCTTCACTGCAGATAACATTCCAAGCCAGCATCTGTCACTTGAGCCTCTCACAACTTTCTCACTCCCCGAACTGTGTCATTCACACTGGTTTTGAAAATTAAATGTCAAGCCACAGCATGAGAATAGATGAGAAAGGCCTTCAACTGTTCCCAGGTAAAATAAAGAAACTGAGTGCATTGTGTCACCATAGCAGTTCTGGATCCTTCAAAAGCTTTTCAAAGACTTAGTACTCTCTTCAAAGGGTGCTGGCTGGACACTTATCAGGGAGAGAGGATAAAAATCTCCCCTTCCTGACTAGACACAAATTTCAGAATATTTTTCAGCCATCTTAGGACAACAAGGAAGCAGACTGTGTGGCCTAATAGTAGTTGGTAGCGGTGAGTTTTCTACTTCTATGAATGAAAATATCTCTTAGCTTAGTTGGTTTATAGATGGGCTACAGAAGCTCTGACTCCCCGTATTCAGTGAGAACCCACAAGCTTGGAGATCTCCCAGTGGCAGCTCCTCTCACCATCCCAGTAGTCATCAATCTGAAAATGGAGGCAGATCTTTAACCTCACCAAAGTGAAGGGGAGGAAGCAGCCTCTTGTGCAATTTCTAGAGTTTGGAATGATCTTAAAGAAACCGTCTCTTTTGGATTTCCCTTACTCCACAATCGTTGACTCCCTCTTAACTTCAATATAGGCCTTTCTTACTAAGCATAAAGGACTGATAGCATCTTCCTTGGACACAAAGACAAACTCCTTTGGTAGAAATGGAAGATTAAGAATGAGCCATCTACTTAATGAGTTCTACACATCCTGTGCCCTGTGAAATCATCATTTCTGAGAAGTTGCAAAAAGAAAACATTTGTGAATACCACACAATAATAATGGCTGCACATACTCATGGTTTGTGAAAATTCACTAAGCTTTTACTAACTCTGATGAATGGTATATTCTGATAAGTTTTTAAATAGAAATAATGGTACTATTCACAACAGCTAAGAGGCAAACCAATCCAAATGTCCATTAAAAGATGAATGGATAAAGAAAATGTGGAATATACATAGAATGAAATACTACAATAGTGAAATACTCCAATAAGAGGAGCAAAGTATTGGAAAATGGTACAACATTGGATGAACCTTGAAACCATGATGCTGAGGGGAAGGATGCCAGACACAAAAGGGCACTCATTCCATTCCATATATATATAAAATGTACAGACTAGGTAAGTCTACAGTCAGAAAACACAGAATGGCTGCAAGGGCTAGAGGAGGGGAGGATGGAGAGTAACTATCAATATGGCATCTTTGGTTGAATAATAAAGTTCTGAATCTAAATAGACAATGGTTATGCTGTATTATGGATGTACATAATGACAATGAACTCTATACTTTAAAATGATCAACTTGGCCGGGCATGGCATTAACATCTGCAATCCCAGCATTCAGGAGGCAGAGGCAACAAGTCCAGAGACAGTCTGGTCTAAACAGTGAGACACCACCTCAAAGAGAAAAAGAAAGCATTAATGTATCAGTGCCCTTGGAGGTATATACAGTTGGGCAGGGTTAAAACAGTCCTTTAAACCAGAATGGAAGAACCTGTTTTCTCTCCAAATTAGAAGCATGTGCTATTATGCACAGCTTTCAACGACTTCAAGAAAAGAGGCATACAAACAGCCCATGTCATGGGCCTAGTTAATCCAGACAGGGGAGCAATTACTTTGTGCTGTCATGATGATGATGCAGCAGGTAAACTGCTCAGTACAGATTCTCTAAATGCTGGCTTTGGGTGTGTCTCTCCAGAGCCCTGTACCTTTCAAGGGCTCTGTACCTCTCAGACCTAATGCATGATACAGACAGTTTTCAAGGGATGTTTACTGACTGAAATGGACGCCAAATTGGGCTTTGTTTGTCCACTGTCTGCCACTACCCACTCAGCAGGTAAACCAAGGCAATGAGGTGACTTGGTATCCAGCCCTGTTTCCAATAAATATCTTATAAATTAGGCTAGACCAATCCACCTACAGCTTCTTCAACTAGAAAATGGAAATAGCTAGATGTGGTACCATATGTCTCTAATATCAGCACTTGGGAGGCAATAAGATCTCTGTGAGTTCAAGGCTGGTCTGGTCTATTTAGCAAGTTCTAGGCCAGCCAGAGTTACATGGTGAGACCCAGTATAAAAAAAAAAAAAAAAAAAAAAAAAAAAAAAAAAAAAACAGAAAAAGAAAATGGGAATAAAATATCTACTTCACATGCTTGCTGTTTTGAGAACTGATTCCTTTTGATTAAAAGAAGATTAAGCACATGAGAACATTTAAAAATGCTCCTCTTCTTCCAATCATAATTTTATTTTGGATAACAATGTGCTGTACCCAGAAAAGCACGTCCTCTTCCCTCTTCTTCACTTACCTTCATGCCAAATGTAAATATAGTAATGACTATTTTGAAGATCAGTGCCAAGGCCAGCTGCCACATGGCTGTGTACACCCCAACTCCAGCTGGCCGGTCTGGAATGTCATCTACAGGCCGAGTCATGTTAGGGTCATTGATGTAGTCACAGAGCTGGGAGGATTCAAGAGCCCCACAGTCGTTAAACAGCTCAGAAATGAGCTCACTGGTGCTCTGACGAGTGTATGGATTGGGATAGGCGATGATGGCAGTGATGGCTGTCACCACAATGACCTCCAACACTGGGTACTTCCCCAGTCTGGTAGTTTTACGCCTCCTGCACCAGGCAATGTTGCAGCGTGTGAAGAGGGTTCCCCACAAACCCCCAAAGACTCCAAGCAGGATGAAAGGGAAGAGTTCGGCCATATACCAGGGTGTATGATACTCCACATAAAAGAGAACCAGGCGACTATTTCCAAAGGGGTTGATGGAGCGCAGTGTGAAAGCCGCTACCAGTGCTGCGAAAAATGACCTCCACAAGGTTTTCAAGGGGAAGTAGTAACTGACCTAAAATGAACAAATAGAAAATCAGAGAGTGACCAGAGAAAGGGCTGCCCAGACCCTTTCTCTTGGGTGAGCAGCTAACCGTTGGCACTTGGCATAAAAGACACGGACTAAAACCAAAAGTATATTCTACTCATTTTACCAGTTTATGTTTAGTTGTGACCAAAAAGCATGAGCAAAGACATTTAAGGGAATTAAAGTCTACACACAGAATGGCAAGCTGAGTTCTGGATACATTTTGGTGTTACAGTTTTTATCTGGCAGTCATAAGACCTGGGTTCAATCCTTAGCACTACAAAAATTAATAAATATCAAAAGTGGTATAGCTAGCCGGGCGGTGGTGGCGCACACCTTTAATCCCAGCACTTGGGAGGCAGAGGCAGGCGGATCTTTGTGAGTTCGAGACCAGCCTGGTCTACAAGAGCTAGTTCCAGGACAGGCTCCAAAACCACAGAGAAACCCTGTCTCGAAAAACAAAACAAAACAAAAAAAGTGGTATAGCTTTAATAAAAATGGGTTTGAGCTATGTTTTTAAGAGAAATAAAAGACTTAGGGTATAATGTGTTTAATATGCTCAAGTTTAATATGCTCAAGACCCTGAGTTTTGTTCCCAACACCACAAAATGATAAAAATAAATATATGTACTCATAATACTGTTCATGTCACTGAAATCTCCCCAAATTCAATAAGTCTTGTTGTCTGAATAACAAAATAGATTAAAGGCTGGAAAATTCTGGCTTATAAGTCAACTCCTTGCCCAGAAAATATACTTCTATGGCAGCAGAGTTTTTATATTTATGAATGGTTAGGGGGACAAAAGTAACTACTTATAAACTGAAATATTCATTTAAAAGCAACATAAGAACTAAATAATGGTGAAATTTCAAAGCTTATAAGGTTTTCAGCCACATAGCCATGCCTACTCATGGATATTGCTGCAAAGACATAGTCAATTGGCTGTGGCAAAAAAAGGTGTGTGGCTCAAGAAACCTACATAGTTAACTATCTTGACCTTTTCAGAGAAATGTTTGCTACCCCCTGGAATGATTCATTAGGTTCCAAAACCCAGTTGGGAGTTAGCTTGTCTATATTCCCACATCAGAAATCGCTCTAAAACTTTTATGTTGGCAAGTTTGAAAGCAGTATGTGAGAACACATTTAACAGCAGAAATTGTGTTCATTAATCAACTGCATGAAGCTTATTCAATACTTTGGTGCTTTGTCAGTCACTCACATTGTTGGTCACTCCAAACCACAAAAACTCATTCTACCGCCCGTTACCTCCTCTAGACTGAAGAGCACACCTCCTATGGGAGCACCAAATGCCACAGAGACACCAGCAGCAGCTGCAGCTGAAAGCACCTGCAAAGTGAAAGTCAAAGATGGGCTCTGGGGACTTTAGTGCATGTGGGATAAGGTAGGGACTCCAAGAAGTCCCCTTCCAGTGGAGGTGGGCAGGAGCTGACTTACCTCACGCCTCTTGCCCTCATTCTTGCTATATTTGGAGAAAAGGCTGCTGAAGAAGTTGCCACAGCAACAAGCCACATGCACCAGTGGCCCCTCTTTCCCCAGGCTCAGGCCAGAGGACACAACTAGCACCAAGGTAACAGTCTTGATTAGCAGTGTCCATTTCCCCAAGTAGCCTCTGATGATAAATCCACTCAAAATGGTCTTTATCTGGAACAGAAGACAGATAGTGAGAGGAATGAACTACAGTGGTCCATGGCTGAGAAAGAAGATGCAATGACTCTGAACAAGACTCACTAAGCTAGAGGAATGGAAGGAACTGGTTCAGTTCTTTTGATTAGAATTTTGTACCAGCAGAAGTTTGTATCTTATTACAGTAGCCCTCTTACCCATGGAGATACATTTCAAGATCCCCAGTGGATACCTGAAACCCAGACTATGTCAAACTGTATTATACCATATTAAAGTTGAATTCATAAATTAAACCCAATAAGAGATTAACACCAAGACGGGTAGTGGTGGTGCACACCTTTAAATCTCAGCACTTGGGAGGCAGAGGCAAGTGGATCTCTGTGAGTTTGAGGCTAGTCTGGTCTACAAAGTAAGTTCTGGCACAGCCAGAGTTGTTACACAGAGAAACCCTGTCTCAGCAAACAAAAAAAGAAAAAAAGGAGAGAGATTAATACCAATAATTAACAAATTAGAACAATTACAAAATCAAAGTATGTCTACCATTTGTTTCCTTTTTATCTACCTAACATTAATGCTTTTTTTTTCAATTTAATTAGCACTTAAATAAAATTTTGCAATTAGCATGTATATTGGAAGTACCACAGATTGCTATGTGACCCTGGCTGGACAGGAACTCACTACATGAACCAGGCTAGCCTTTAGTTCAAAGATTCATTGCCTCTGCTTCTCTAGTGCTGGGATTAAAGTTGTGTACCACCATGCTTAGTCATAGATTGCTTTTTTAAACAGATAAATTTAGCATCCAAAATAATGGACTTCACTATGTTGTTTCCATATGTATCAGTCATATACTTTGTTCCTGCTGTCTCATATTGAAAAGGACTTTGAGTACAGGGAGAACTATCTTACTCCTTTACAGACTTGCTCCATTTTGTCAATGCAAACAATGGCTTTTTCCCCACAAGTACATTGCAGTCTTTGCTTAGAATTTAATTGGATGCCAGGATCTATGATGGACTTTGTATAATGAAGTCTACCCCTCAAGTGGTTCAATACTTTCTTACTTCCAACCTCTGCCACAATTGGATAAAAATGAGTGATTGTTTGCCATTGGGCTGGTAACTTTCAAGTTCCTGATTAGATTCATGAGACACTAAGCCAGTTAATCAAATTCCTAGCCATTTTCCCCAGTTGTATGCTATGTTATGGGATAATGTTTTCCCATTTCAGTGTCAGTTACATACATAAAAATATCTTCTTGTGGACATTACTCAGTCAAGTAAAACAACTTCTCAAGCAGTGAACACAATGCTTTTCAACCTCATCAGAATCACTTGATGAACTAGAAAATGTCAAAGAGTCGCTCTCCCTACAGAGATGGCAGCAAGATCTAACTCTCCCCCACAGAGATCTAATGTAATTGCCCAGAGATGCAGCCAAGGCAAAGAGGAATTTTACAGTCATGTGATTTCAAAATGTTCTACTCCCGAAACAAGTAACAGAAATTTCCCTAGCTTCTCAATATTTAAGGTTCATCACTGAAACACTATTTTTTCCAATGCTCACTTGCATTGTTTATCATGTCAGCTTTATTGGTTTGAGGAGATTATAAGTAGGCTTGAAAGGAGTGTGCACAGGAGTCTATCTTAGTATTATGAGAGACCTCTTGTCTTTTAGTGGCAGACTCTCACTATACAGGTCAAACTGACCTGATTCTCAAGCCTCCACCTCCCAAGTGCTGCGATTAGAGATGTGCACCACAGAGTCACTCAGAAAATCAGCTTTCAATTTCAGAAGGAGGAAAAGAGGATGAGGAGAACAGAGAGTGGGAGATAGGGGAGGGAAGGAGAGTGAGAGATCCCAAAATTCTCCGTGAGCTCATTCCTGCAGAATATATAAGAGGACTCTTAGCTGTAGTCAGACAGTACTTTTTTTTTTTTTTGGTTTTTTCGAGACAGGGTTTCTCTGTGGTTTTGGAGCCTGTCCTGGAACTAGCTCTTGTAGACCAGGCTGGTCTCGAACTCACTGAGATCCGCCTGCCTCTGCCTCCCGAGTGCTGGGATTAAAGGCGTGCGCCACCACCGCCCGGCCAGACAGTACTTCTTGAACTAGCCTTTAACTACTCAGATAAACTAGTTGTGGTCAAACTCGTATTTAACTAGTGATAGTTACGTTAATTGAGCCTGTGCTTTGGGGATATGGGAACTCTGTATGGAAGAGATATCTGATTATGCCTGCCACAATCTAGTCCTATTTATTGCCACAAATAAAAATATCTATAATTTTTGTCAGTCGGTTTATAAGGATTTGTACCCCAGGATACATTTTAAAAGCATAATACCACTTAGAAAATCACAAACATCTAAATTACCTGAGGCTCTGCCAGCAATGGCATGTGGTGAATTCGCCAATGTAATAGGTATTTTGTAATTCTCTAAAATAATTTTATAAAATTGTTATTATCAAATTAAGAACTAAAGAAGGCAGATGCATTCCCAGGAGATGCCCAACTCTAATTACTTTAATTTGAATTGATAGAAACTGAAGCATGCAGGGCTTTAGTGAGATGTATTGCGGAGACTCTTATTGTGGTGTTACCATTATGATCAAAGCTCTTTCTGATAGATAAATGTTTGTATGAATGTTTGTATTTTGTAAAGAACAGAAATCAGTGAAGAATAAATTCTGAGGATGCAATTTCTTGTCCAGGTGGTAGTTAACACTTGTGGCTTTTCTAAATTGAGAGTTCCCAGAGTACGTACGTTTTCTCCAAACTCTTAAGCCACAAGTGTTCACTTTTATTTTCTTTGTGTGTATGTGTGGTATGTGGGTGCATGGACATGGGTCCATGCACCTATGTATGCACATATAGAAAATAAAGGAGGATGTCAGATGTCTTTTCTATCACTGTCTACTTTTTCCTTGAGGCCGTGTGTCTCACTAAGCGTGATGCTTACTATTTCTGCTAGGCTGATTAGTCAATGAGTTCCCAGGACCTGCCCATCTCTGTTCCACCATGTTGATGCTATAGGGATGTACAGCCATGCTCAACTTACTTAAGTGCTGAATATTCAAATTCAAGCCTTCAAGTTTGTGCAGCAGGCACTCTTACCCACTGAGCTATCCCCTCAGCTCAAGTGTTCATTTTCAAATGTGCTTTACAGAAATTATACAGTGCATTTATTACACAAAAACTCTCAAGCATTTAAGATGTTTATAGTGGGTACAGTGACACACATCTGTAATCCACAGCAGGACTCAGGAAGTACAGATTAAAAATTGATAAAAGTTCCTGTTATGAGTATAAAGTGTCCATCTCGATCTCTTCTGATTGATTTTAGTTTGAAGTCAGTTTTGTTAGAAATTAATATGGCCACACCTGCTTTTTTCTTAGGACCATTTGCTTGAAAGACCTTTTCCCAACCCTTTACTCTGAGTAGATGCCTGTCTTTGTGGTTGAGATGTGTTTCTTGCAAACAGCAGAATGTTGGATCCTGTTTTCGTATCCAATCTCTTAGCCTGTGCCTTTTTATAGGTGAGTTGAGACCATTAATATTAAGTGATATTAATGACCAGTGGTTGTTCATGCCAGATATTCTTGTTGTTTTTGGAAGTAGAATTTGTGTGTCTCCCTTCTTTGAGTTGTGCTAGTGAAGGGTCGCTAGATGCCTGAGTTATTGTAGGCAGCGTTGGCAATGTTGGATTCCTTGGGTTGCGGTTTTCCTTCTATTACTTTCTGTAGGGCTGGATTCGTGGCTACGTATTGCTTAAATTTGTTCTTATCCTGGAATGTCTTGGTTTCTCCATTTATAGTGAACGAAAGCTTGGCTGGGTATAGTAGTCTGGGCTTGCATCCATGGTCTCTTAGCTTCTGCAGTACTTCTATCCAGGACCTTCTGGCTTTCATTGTTTCCATAGAGAAATCAGGTGTAAGTCTGATCGGTTTACCTTTATAAGTTACTTGGCCTTTTTCCTTTGCAGCTCTTAGTATTCTTTCTTTAACCTGTATATTTTGTGTTTTGGTTATTATATGGCGAGGGGATGTTTTCCTTTGATCCAGTCTGTTTGGTGTTCTGTATGCTTCTTGAATATTCAAAGGAATATCTTTCTTTAAGTTGGGAAAGTTTTCTTCCATAATTTTGTTCAGAATATTTTCTGGGCCTTTGAGCTGTGACTCTTCTCCTTCTTCTATTCCTATTATTCTTATATTTGGTCTTTTTATTGTGTCCCATAATTCCTGAATGTTTTGTGATGAGAATTTGTTGGCTTTGCAGTTTTCTTTGATCAGAGCGTTTATTTTCTCTATGGTGTCCTCAGAATCTGAGATTCTTTCTTCTATTTCTTGTATTCTATTGATTATGCTTGTTTCTGTAGGCTGTGCTCGTTGACCTAGATTTTTTTCCAAAGGAATTTTTATTTTAAATAATCAAAATATTGTGGAAGAAAAATCTCAGAGGGATGAGCAATTTTGAAAACCTACTTTGGACTAGTTTGTAGCTCAAAAGCAGAGTACTTGCCAGGCATGTGCAAGGCCTTCAGTCTCATCCTTTGCATTATAAAATGGTGTGAATATGTACCCCTGTGCATTGTTTTCAAAGTCTGCTTTTGTGTGACCTGCCATACAATATATTCCAGCAGACTGCATGACTCCAGGAAGACAAAGTACTCTTTCTTAAGCAGCTCAGCCCAATCTTTGCTAACGTAAAATAGCATGGTTCCAATCCCTACTTTAAGTCAATTTCCACTGGGATCTGGCTTGACTCAGAGAAAGTTCTTCTCATACACAAAAATGCAGGTTTACATAGACTTTTCACCTTGTCCATCTTCTCCAAGAATCATGGTTCGTTCTGTCTTCCCAGGTAAAGGAGTTCCAGTTCTACTACCTTGTTACTGCTGGCTCCTACTAGCCAACCTCAACTGTGAAATCTCCATTGGTTCATAAAACTTTCAGATTATCACGAGTGTTTTTTCAACAACTAAAAAAAAATAAACAAAAAAATAAAGAAAAGAAAAAAAATAAAACACTGACTTTCCTAATTTAAAAAAAAAAAGAGAGAGAGACCCATCCTCAAGGGATCTGTTCACTTTTCACTTGCCACACTTGATATCGTTGTTATATTATCCATGTCACATGTCACTTTATCACATAAGAAACTTCAATGTGCAACTTCACCAATGATGATATCTACTTTGGGGTCAGTAACATCTCTCAGCAGGTGAAGGCACTTGGCAATGTGCTTAATGATCTTAGTTCAATACCCACATGAAGGTAGGAGAGAAATGACTCCGGAAAGTTGTCCTCTGACCTCCATACAAGCATTGTAGCATGTGCAGATACCCCTTCATCTGTGTACATCACATGCATACACACGATGTAATAATAAATAAAAATTTCATTTAAAGAGTGTCCGTACTGGGCCGGGCGGTGGTGGCGCATGCCTTTAATCCCAGCACTCGGGAGGCAGAGGCAGGCAGATCTCTGTGAGTTTGAGACCAGCCTGGTCTACAAGAGCTAGTTCCAGGACAGGCTCCAAAACCACAGAGAAACCCTGTCTCGAAAAACCAAAAAAAAAAAAAAAAAAAAAAAAAAAGAGTGTTCACACTGGAGAAGAAACATTCGAGCAGCTACTCAAAGACAAAGGTCACATCTGCCTACAAGATCACCAGTACAACCATTCATCTCTGGTTTTTGGAAAGGGGATAAGGACTGATCCAGCATGCATTTTATTTCTCTTTGAGCATCCCTAATGACCATCTTCCTCTTTGGGGAAAAGCTTGAGCAAAAACATGCCTACTAATGAACAGTAAGATCATAAATTGGGATAGTAAAAATTATCTATCCTTGTTGCCCAGGGTGCCTTGGTTCTGGGTGTTAAATAAAACAGTCAGTTCTATCAGGAGCAGAAGGAGAAAGAGCACGAGCAAGGAACTCAGGACCATGAGGGGTGCACCCACACACTGAGACAATGGGGATGTTCTACTGGGAACTCACCAAGACCAGCTGGCCTGGGTCTGGAAAAGCCTGGGATAAAACCGGACTCTCTGAACATAACGGACAATGAGGACTACTGAGAACTCAAGAACAATGGCAATGGGTTTCTGATCCTACTGCACGTACTGGCTTTGGGGGAGCCTAGGCAGTTTGGATGCTCAACTTACTAGACCTGGATGGAGGTGGGGGGTTCCTTGGACTTCCCACAGGACAGGGAACCCTGATTGCTTTTCGGGCTGAGGGGGGGGGGGACTTAATTAGGGGAGGGAAATGGGAGGCGGTGGCTGGGAAGAGACAGAAATCTTTAATAAATAAATAAATTAAAAATAAATAAATAAATAAATGTTGGCTTAAAAAAAGAAGTAAAATAAACAAAGCTTTAAAAAATAAAACAAAAAAAAACAGTCAGTTCTGAGGCAATACTTGCTTTGGGAATACAAACTGCCACCCATACTATTCATTCATCAGAGAATTCACATATAATGCAAATTTTGTGACTGCGTATTGATAATTTCCCTAGGAGAACTCCAGGGTGAATGCAGAAAAGTGTCTCTGGTTGAACTGAGCTGTGTAGGAAAGCACAAAATATGCTTTTCAATATGTCTCAAATATCTACCATCTCACACCTGTGCTAGGGTGCCATGGCTGTCATACCTGCTATGACCACTTTCTACTGATTTTGGAATACACACTATCTTAGCTCTCACAAACTGCAATGCTTAGCCCCCACTTTCCACGAGCGAACATTCAAGTTTTTTCAATAAGTGAAGTATTTATTTAGACTTGATATATGTGGGGACCATTTAACATACATGACACTGTGCTACTGTTCTTAGCAGGTTTCTCTCTTCCTCTGTCAGGTTCTAAGTATTGTGATCACACTCTGACACATTTTCTCATAAGTCTCTGGTTTTTAGTGTGCTATTTTGCATAGTACCATATGCTTTCAAAGTACATACACTTCATCAGAACAGAATTGGTTGTATTGAGGAAATAGGGTGGGATGTGGTCATTTGAACAAGAATGCCCCCATAGGCTCATATGTTTGAATGATTAGTCATCAGGGATTGGAACTACTTGGGATGGGTTATAAGGTTTGGCCTTGCTGAAGGAATTATGCCACTGGGAGATGGGCTTTGAGGTTTCAAAAGCACAAGCTGGGTCTGGTAGTTCTTTCTTTTTTGGATGTAGAACTCTCAGCTACTTCTCCAGCACTTTGTCTGCATGCCTCCATACTCCCCAACATGTTGATAATGGACTAAATCTCTGAAATGGTAAGACAGCCCCAAATAAATGCTTTCCTTTGTAAGAGTTGCTATGGGCCAGGCAGTGGTGGAGCACATCTTTAATCTCAGTACTCGGAAGGCAGAGGCAAGTGAATCTCTGTGAGTTTGAGGCCAGCCTGGTCTACAAAGCAAGTTCCAGGACAATCAGAGCTGTTACACAGAGAAATCCTGTATTGAAAAACCGAAGGAAATAAAAAAAAGAGTTGTCATGGTCATGGTCTCTTCATGGCAATAGAACACTGACTAAGGCAGGTGGTAAAGCAGTTTGATTGGATGATCTTGAATTAATATGACAAAATAAACTTCCAAAAATTCAGTAAGGCGTATCAATACATATTTCTACTCTTTTTCTTGAAACACGTCTATATTGAACTTTTTTCAGTACACCTTCCTGATATCTTCTGCCCCATTGTGTGAACTGCCTAGACCAGCACTGGTGTGGGAAGGCACAACACTGGGTAAACTGGCCTGGAAATGTAGTTAAGTCAGTAGAGTATTTTCCTAGGATGCACAAAGCTCTGGGTTCAAACCCCAGCAACACATAAACCTAGCACGGTAGTCCACATTTGCAATCCCAGCACCTGGAAAATTGAGGAAGGAGGATAAGTAATTCAAGGTCATCTTCTGCTACATTGTAAGCTTGTGAATAGCCTGAGATACATGGAACACAATATCCAAAGATAAATAAGTCTTTCAAGATGGTAACAGGGACCCAGTGGCACTATCAGTCCAGAATTCTACTCTCACCTCACCCTCTCCATTGCCACATAAGAGCAATGCAAATGTTCTAACTAGAGAGAACCTGAAAGACATTTTATGATTTCTGGTTTTTCATTTTGCATCTTTCAGTAGTCAGCTCAATTACTATCATTCTACCCAGCAGATTCTCCCAGGCTTCATATTTGATCTTAGTGAATGATGAAGTCACTTCCCTGATACAGTGGTTACATCAGATTGCTGAAAATTATTTATAAGAGCTGTATGTTCACATGGGCATAGTCCCAGTGCATGCATGGAAAGCAGAATTAATTTTTTTAAGATTTATTTATTTATACATACAATGTTCTGGCTGCATGTATGTTTATACACCAGAAGAGGGCACCAGATCTCTTTACAGATGGTCGTGAGTCACCATGTGGTTGCTGAGAATTGAACTTAGGACCTCTGGAAGAGCAGCCAGGGCTCTTAATCTCTGAGCCACCTTTCCAGCCCCCAGAATTAATTTTTTAAAGATTCCTATTACCCTGTCACCAGAAAAACAAACATGGCAAAAGCTCCTGATCACCAGTAAACTTTCCCAGTAGTGCTCCTCCACTACTGTCTGGTTTTCACATTACATCATAGAGTTACTACAGTAGCAATTTTACGTGGATGCTTTGTGATCCCAGATTCTTCAGGCTTTAAGAGTTTATCTTGGCTTCCAAGGCAGAGGTCTAATCATTTGAGAAGCAACAGACCCAAACTGCTGAATACAGTACTCATTGTGAAGCCAGACTTCTGGGTTCAACTCACAGCTTGCCAGATTAAAGACTGTAGGGAAGTTACTTAACTAGTTTTTATTTTAGTTTTCTTAACTACTAAGTGAATGAACAGTGCCTATCTAGTAAGCTTATTGTGGAGATCATAGCTGGCACATAGGATTTCAGCTACAACTTACCTCAGGTATGCCAGAGCCACAGGCATATGGTGCAAATACACGTACCAGGGAGACGGCCAGAAATGCAAACAGCAATGCCCACAGAATGTACATTAAGTAATTCAGAATGTAAGCACTGGCACCCTAAAAAGCAGACACAAAAGAAGGAAGAAGTGGTGAACCATAGCAGACCTGAGTAATGTACCCAACCCCACCATCTCCATTAGGAAAGCAAAGTTCTGATGGGCTCAGAGAGGTTCCTGCCAGGCCTGCATAAAGGAAAGCACCAGGTCTTGCTATTGCTATAGTCACTACACACAAACAGCATCAGGTGTTTCTCCAGGAGCTAGTTACACAAGCCTTCCAGTGTATGAAATCTCAGGAGTAATGGAAAGCAAGGATGATGCTGGGTTGTAATCACCACTTGCACTGTAGTTAATAAAAGGTGTGGCACACAAAAAGCTGCCTGTGAGACTCTGTACGATTTGTTTTGTCTTGTCTGTGGTGGGATGGCCTCTCTTTGTTTTCATTACAGCCACACCCAGACCACAGTGAATAAGCTTCAGTTCTATGTTTGAGAAGGTTGCTTCTCTAAGTGTGGTCCACGGACCAACAGCACCAGCATCACCTGGGAGGTTGGCAGAAACATAACCTGTGGGCCCCTACCCTTGGGCTGCCAAATAAGATACTTCACAAAGTCACACAGCCCAGTGTATTTTAACAAGCCTCTGGAAGATTCCAGCAAGTGCTAACATGTGACAGGCACTCCTAGAAGGGAGCTGCTTGAATACCCTCTTCAGAAAAATATATTGGACTATTTACTCCAAAGTAGCTAATCTTGTCTTTTCTTTCCTTTTCTGATACAAGCACACAGTCTGGGTACTTTATCCTTTCTCGAGGCTTCAGCTCCTTCTCACCATCTGGATTATTCAAGCAAGAGAAAAGGAAAAGATCACCTACCTACCTGTCAGGCCATGGCCATGGCCACATATATGCCTATTAAATGTAAGGACATGTTCCTGGAGACTGCAATGTGGCCACATATTTCACACACTATGTAGTGAGAAATCAGCCCAAGGAATACCTTTCATCCACTTAAATAAGTACATTTTGAAGGCTAAAACTAACTTCTCACTCTTTTAAAGAGCAATTCTTTGAAACAAAGAATAAATCTTACAACCAGTTGAAAAGATAGGCACCTCTATTTCCCCTGGAACACATGCTGCAAGTAGGAAAAAGATGGCAGTCAGCCAGGCCCATCTGCCCATGCTCATCAACCCAAGTCTAGAATTTCTTTCTGGAAATAATGGCAAGAATGTGTGAGATTTCAAGACTCCTGACTGCTTCTAAGATGTGAGGGAATATTCCATCAAGAGAAGGGATTAGTGAAATGGCAAAGTACATTGCAAATGTCTTCAGCTAAGAAAGTCCGTCAAAAGAAACAGGGAAAGGAGAAGTTCAAAAAGATTACAGATACCCTCCCAACATACTCGAACTTTTACAGTTCTCCTATTACCCCTAATGTAAAGCTTTTTACCTAGCTTCTTTCACCTGGCCTTGATCAATCAATGTCCCTCCTCATCATCCTTCTTTTGAGTCAGAGTCTTACTATGGAGACTAGGCAAAATATGCATGACAATCTGAATTTCTAAATGCCATGAAGGTATGTACTAGATCTGTGGGTCACCCATATATTCATGTGCCCCAGAACTGCTTTTCACAGAAGCTTCTTCTGATTGGATCAGAAAAGGTCGATGGAAGATGATAACAGAAACCACATTGAAACGCTATTTCACACGCACTAGGTTAGCTACAATGAAGGCAGATGCTAGCAAGTGTTGTAAAGTAGGTAAGCAAATCAGGACCCTCATATATTGCTCACGGGAATGCAAATAAGTGCATCCACTTTGGAAACCATCCTACCAATTCTTCAAAATGTTAAATCTAGGGGTCACCTTTCTCCCAGAGTTTACACTTATACCCAAAGGAGATGAACTATATGCTCCCACCTGGAACACAGATGTTCATGGTGACATTGTCATGCTAGTCAAAAAACAAGAACACATGTTCATCAAATAATATGCAGCCTAGCCATACAATGGAGTATCATACAGCAATGAAAAGGAAGCAAATGCTGACTTAGGCTATAGTATGAAGCAACTTGGAAAACAATAGGCTAAGTAACACGATATCCACAAAGTCCACAAAGTCATGGATTCATTTAACTGAACTGTCTAGAAGGGGGAAATTTGTAGAGACAGAAAGGTCATTGGCAGTTGTTTGGGACTATTAATCAATGACTCTGGAGCAGAACAGGCAGATGGGGGGGGGGGAGGTTATGGATAAAAATATTCCAAAATTGACGATGGTGATCATTACATAATTCTGTGACTGTGACCAAAGCTACTGAATTGTACTTTCTGCGGAAGTATCTTTTTTATTTTTTTATTTTTATTTATTTTTTTATTGAAAAAAAATTTCCGCCTCCTCCCCGCCTCCCATTTCCCTCCCCCTCCTCCCCTTCCTCTCCCCCTCCCCCCACTCCTCTCCCCCTCCCTCTCCAGTCTGAAGAGCAGTCAGGATTCCCTGCCCTGTGGGAAGTCCAAGGTCTTCCCCCCTCCGTCCAGGTCTAGGAAGGTGAGCATCCAAACTGGCTAGGCTCCCACAAAACCAGAACATGAAGTAGGATCAAAACCCAGTGCACAGGAGATTGCTTCCTGCGAAAGTATCTTATAGTGGTATATTATTTGTGTTTTAATAAATAAAGCTTGCCTGAAGATCAGAATGCAAAGCAACACTAGTCATCCATACAGGGCAGGCAGTGGTGGTACACACCTTTAATACCAGCAGCCATACTAGTTAGCCATAGAGGCCAGTCAGTGGTGGCACAGCTTTAATACCAGCACTAGAGAGGAATATAAAAGGGGAGGAGATAGGAGTCATGCTCGGCGTCAGTCTGATGACTTGTGGAGGCAGGATTGCCCATTTTGATCTGAGGTAGACATAAGAGCTGGTGGCTGGCCGCTTTGCTTTTCTGATCCTCAGTTTGAACCCCTGGTTTTTATTACTCATGCTACAGATCTGATGAAGTATAAATTGGCTCCCTGAAACTGTTACTTTATAAACTGATATAAAAAAAAACCTTTCTTCCGGCTTAAAACATAAAAATCAACTCCATTTCTTCAGCACAAAGAAGAAACTACCTTTAGTCAGAAAAAGGCAAATATACCAGCTGTGATAGTTCGTGTCTGAAATCTCAGAACTTGAGAAGCTGAAGTAGGAGAATTACTGTGTGTTCCAGGCCAGGATGGGATATAGTCTGAGAGCATGTCTGAAAATCAGTAAAGAGATAGGGGAGACAGGAAGAGAGAAAAGACAGACAAAGTCAGGGAGAGAGGAAGGAAAGAAAGAAAATACACATATAATGCCCATGAGCAAGGGGCTCCAAGGTCAGCAAGGGCTTTCTAGGTAAACTCTGAGAAGCCGCAGAAATCAATGAAAGCAAGCAACAGCACTATTTAAGCCAGAGAATATTATCTGAAGGTGAAATCATAGGTGTTCAGGAACTTGGGATTATGGTGGTCCCAAGACCCTACACAGATACACACCTCTGACTGGCTCAACAGAAGCTCTGACCACTTCTGCCACAGGGGACACTTGTCCCTGTCCTCGAAAGTGGTCTCATTAGAGGTCCAGCAGCACTGCTCATGACTGTACCAGAAAGCAGATAGACAGACACCCTCCTTCAGGTCTGTCATCCAGTCAACAGCAAGATCGATGACCCCAGCCAAGGTACCTAGAAGAAGAGGAATAAATCATGGAGAAGAATTGCCACATGGAAAGAACACAGGGCATTCCCAAAGCTGAGTGCACACCCATGCTACTGCCACTAAAACTGACAGCTGCTTTCATCCACTTGGAAGTAACCTGAGCATTTATGGCATGGGCCAGTCAGTCAGTAGGCATCCCAAAGAGCCACAAAAGCCCTAGGGCCTTAAATCAGGTAGCAGGGCTATGTGGTTCCGTTCTCTTAAGTTGTGAGGGCAGAAAAAAGTTTAGGATTCAGTCATCACTCTCTGAGTTTTTTAGTGTCAATATACAGCTTGAAAAATTATCCTCAATTTAGGAAGATGGCTCAGGAGATAAGACTGTTTTTTATGCAATCATAAGGACCTGAGTTCAAATTCCAACACCTACATAAAACCTGGGCATGACCATGTGTACCTATATTCCCAGTGTTGAGGGAGGCAAAATGGAGATACCGGAAGCTCCCTGGACAGCCAGTTTAGCCAAAAGAACAAACTTCAGATACAGTAAGAGGTCCTGCCTGGAGGGAATACGGTAGAAATAAACACAGGAAGACATCTTTGTCTGGCCTCAAAATACAAATATACTGGTGGGTGTACTCACACACACACAAACACACTCACACACACACACAACACATGCATAATTCACATCACATGCACCAAACACATAAGCAAGTAAACAACCCTTCCCTCTCCATGGCTTTCTCATCAACATTTAAGTCACCCCTAGTCCACATTCCCCTCCAGACACTGTCCTGGAGCTTCCCTTCTCTCTTCTTTCCCTCAGTCCAGTTCATTCTCTCCTTCTACTAGGAAAGCAATAGCCTGTACCCAGTCTTCATTATTCAGAACAGGTCATACAGCGCACAACCAAGAGGCCCTATGTAGCCCACTGCCTTTTTGTTACTAAAGCTTTAACCCAGCACAGCCACACTTTATCATTGGATGCTGACTGTGGCTTCCTGCTACAGTAGCAGAGTTGAAGTATAGAGAGAGAAACTACACAGCTCAAAAAGCCAAAAACACTTATTTGCTAGCCTTTGATAGAAAGAAGGTTGCCAACCCTAGTTTTAGGCCTCTTGGCATCATTTGAAATTGCCAAGCACTCCATTCTTCCAGAAGCTCATGGCTTCTGCAAAGTTTAGCTCTCCTGGTTTCCCCCTTGCTTTCGGATTTTCTGTCTGTTTTGATCTTTCCTGCTTCTCCACTCTGCTTTCTAAGGGGGATATTTCTTCAAAGCTTGACCCTAAACCCCTTTTCTCCTTTCATAGTATGCATTCTTTCCTGACTGTCTTATTTGTATCCCTCTTGCTACTAAGCCCTAAAGGTATATCCAGGCCCAGAGAACAGTGTGTGTGTACGTATGCATGTAGGTGTGTGCATGTATATATGTGTGTGTATGTATCTATATGTGTTTATACATGTGTGTGTGTGTGTGTGTGTGTGTGTGTGTGTGTGTGTGTGTTACTTCAACTAGTTTATATACGAGAAAGAAAAGGTCTTGTCATCTAGCTTTTGTGTCACAGTTAAGGTCAGGCCAGGCATCTGGACCTGGGTCCACTTCAAAAGACACACATAATGTTCAATTCCATTTACATGGAATGTCTAGAACAGACAAATCTCCAGTGAAAGGAAGTAGACTGGTAATGGTTTAGATCCTTCCATAGCTAAAAGGTGCAGATAATATTCAGGTGGGAATGATAAAATTGTTCTAAAATTGGTCATGATGATAATTGCAAACTCTATAAATACACTAAAAACCACTTAATTGTACACTTTAAATGGGTTAATCATGCAATATGTGTAGTATAATTCAGTAAAGCTGTTACACACACACACACACACACACACACACACAGAGAGAGAGAGAGAGAGAGAGAGAGAGAGAGAGAGAGAGAGAGAGAGAGAGAAACTAAAACTGGTGAGAGAGGCTCAGTGAGAGAAAGATGTGATTTTTTTTAGAGAAATGATCAGAGAAAGTTTCAAGTAGAAAGTGACATGTGAGCAAGATCTGATGATCACCCCCAAATCCATCATTTTTCAACCGTTCACAGTCACATTACTCTTCATCCAATCTCCTTTGCTGATGCAAGTTATTTTGTGAACCATCTCTGCTTTGGTCTGTGGTACAACAGTGCCGCCTTATGGTAAATTCTGGTAAATTAGTTCTGCAGAGGATAAGTGTGATTCCTCTGCGAGGATCCCAAATAAAACCAAGGGAACATCCATCCAGGCAGTTGGACACCTGAGTCCTCCCCCTCCCCCCATTGGAGCCAAGGGAAAATGGTGCTACTTTCTAGATCTTGCTCCAATATGCATCCAAATCCAAAGAACACTGGATGTGCCTATCTTTAAAACCCCTTCATTCTGTACCTTCCTTCACTTTTTACTGTGGCCGTAGAACTAGCTTTCGAAGTGTTTGCTGCCTCCAGTTACACATTAGAATCATAAAGGGAAAAGAGGTCTTTACATCATCATAGTGTTTTCTCCAGAAATGCTGTTTAATACCAACCCTCATAGTCTTCTAAAAAAAGAAGCTAACTTCAGCAAACGACTACCACAAAGAGCCAAATATCTACTATCCACAAAATGGCACTGAGATTATGACAACAGAAGATGAGGAGTCTCTACGGGTTGGAACAGTGTATAGTCTAGATGCAACTGTCCTGGATTCACCTTGGATCCTGTGGGTGGTTAATATTATTTTGAATGTCATAGCATACTCAATCATGCATTTCAGGGCTTTCAAGTAGTAGGAAAAGCCCACCACATGTGATGCTTGATGCTTCAAAATTATAATGCTTCCACATTTTGTAACCCCATAGATAGCTAGGTATAACAGAATATAAAATGTGTGCTTTTGGTAAAATCCCAGGGTAGTCATAAATCTATACAGTGTATGCACAAGGCCAAATAGAGCTGTTAATTGCAACTTTCCAGAAGTTCACACTTGCTTTGTGAGCTATCTCTGTTTTGGTCTGTGATGCCACAGTTAGGGTCAGGCTCCTGCCTTAGTCTTGGTAGAGTCTAGAAAAAAAATAGTCATTCAGGTATTTTCAATCAATAAATCTCTTACATTGAGATAGAAGATGAATACTCCATAGCTTCAGTGTCTCCTAAACATCTGGAGTGTGGGGGTACTAAGAGTACTGATGGAAGAGGGTCATCTTTCTATCTGTTGTTTCATTGGTTAAATAAAGAAATTGCCTAGGACATAAAATTAGGTAGGCGGAGTAGACTGAACAGAATGTTGGGAGAAAGAAGCAGATTGAGGAGTCTCCATGATTCTCCTACCGGACACAGACGCAGGTTAAGATCTTCCCTGGTAAGACACCTCGTGGTGTTACAGGGATATTAGAAATGGGTTAGGTCAATATGTAAGAGCTAGCCAATAAGAGGCTGGAACTAATGGGCCAGGCAGTGTTTAAAAGGATACAGTTTCCGTGTAATTATTTCAGGGCATAAGCTAGCCATGCGGGCGGCCGGGTGCCGGGGACGCAGCCTCACCACTCCTACTACAACAGAGTACAGCACACATACATATCTTGCACATACCTGCCAGCAGCCCAATGAGTAGCATCACCACCCATCCTGACCACGCATCCAACAGGCTCTTGATGAACTCCCAGATTGACTCCTTACTTTTGCTGGTTATCTAAAAATAAAATACACAAAGCAGTTGATCAGAACACAAGTCCATTTCCTGCTTCTTTCTCTGAAGTAGATTCCTCAGGAAACAACGTGACTGAGGAGATGAATATAATTAAGCCATCAAATTCCCGGTCAAACTGTTCTTGCAGCAATGCAAGACTGATTAAATGGGCTTTCTAGTTCACAAGGCTATATGGATGCAGCACAGAATCAGTGTCTCCCTTCAAAATGGATTTTAGATAATCAGATTCAATATGGATTTTTAATTAAGTACTCTTTTAGGGATACTCTAACTCTCCATAGACCATTATGGCATTTTTATAGCATACCTCTTTCCCTCCCCATTCTGGGGGAGCACTACACTCCTCGAACATCATCATCCCCCCACCTATTCTTGGTTTCCTATTTCATTCCTGTCTGCTTCTTCCAAGTCTTTGGCTCTGATTCCAACCTGCCTTCCTCTGTACGCAAAATGTGTACCCTAACTTTTGCAGGGTCCGGTTTCCACCACCACATCTCTCTTTAAGTGCCCAAGCCACCTTGGCCATGTCTCAAGCTTCAGCAACCATCTGCAGGCTAGGGCTCTCTCACTCTCCAAGGTGAGCCCAACCTCACACTGAGCTGCACAGCATACTATTCCCAAGCCCCTGCTGCTCCTCTTCCTCCACTCATTAGCAAAAGCCCTGCCTTGTCTGACAAGAACCTATGGTTCTATGACTCCATTTCACTCTGCTCCCTTCTCTAAAGCCCTACATGGCTTGAGGCTTGATCATGATCCCACAGGCATCTTTTTTTTCAGCCTCCAGTAAGAACTCCTCCTGCCTTGTGACCACACTCCTATGCTTCCTGTTTGTCTCTCTGCAGTACCTCTCTACTGTCCTCTTCAGCCTTCACCAACTCCTCCCCATGGGTTATTTAATCATTCCTAACACAGCCCCGTAGCATAATCTTCTAGGCTCATCTCTATTCATCTCCTTCTGGGAATCCTCCAACAAACCTAGGACTCCCTGGAATGATCTGAAGCTGTCACATTCTTTCATGTGTCCGTGAATTAAAAAAAAAAAAAACTCCCTATATTTAAGATCTTTTCTCTCTCTCTGACTACCAAATTTTTGGTCACATTGAGAGAACAAATGAAAATCTTACCTCTCTGAAAAAAAAACTCTCTAATCATCCCTCATAAATGAGTCCATAGCATTTGCCATATTCTAGTATACACTAGATATCTGGCAGCATAATAACATAACACAGACACACATACAATCTCATCCAATCTTCAATGTCATCACTTTTTTCTCAAGGATTAATGAGTAAATGAGGCCCAGAAATGACAGCCTCAAACTCAACCACCATGAAGGTGTTAAGGGCAAGAGGTGGTTCAAATGTGTCTGACTTCAGGGTCCCTTTGTTGTTTACACTGGTCATATTTCTTCCCAAAGTATGTAACTCTCAGTCTTTGTCTCTGCTTCCTCTACTAGATCTTTCCTGCTGTGGAACCCACACATGATGCACAGCCTCAGGCTCAGACTATAACCTGGAGATGGAAGCATTGTGGATCTATCAGGAAAGACTCCTTTAGCATAGTACCACCTACCTTTCTGTGTCTGTCAGTGTCCCGGGACTTTTCCCTTAGCCAGTCTATGGTGTGAAAGTCCTCATAGGTCCCCACATCAGGGAAAGGCTCATCAAGGAAGTCCATTAGGTTCCCAGAGGCACTCATGGCTCCTGAGCTGACCATGCTAGTTACTCCTGGAAGAGAAGTCCACCTGTTAAAATGCAAACAGGGCTCGTGTGTAGCTCAGGACAAGAGTATCTGCATAGTATGCATGAGAGCTTGGGTTTGATCCCCAGCTCCACAAAGAAACAAAGTAAGCATGACCACAACATGAATATAGCACCATAATCCAAGGACAATCTACTTTTCTTTTTCTCTGGTTATATGTGTATTTTGTGTGTTGGTGTGTATTTCTGTGTGTGGTAGGGTGTGTGCTATGTGTGTGTGTGTGTTTATGTGGAGGGGTACGTGTGGTACTGTGTACTGGACAGACCTTTCACATGTTAGGCAAGTACATTTGGTTGTGGGACAAATGTCTGTATTCTGTCAATTATATTTTAACAAAACGCTGATTGGTCAGGAGCCAGGCAGGAAGTATAGGTGGGACAACCAGATAGGAAGTATAGGTAGGTCAATGATAACAGGAGAATTCTGGGAAGGAGGAAGCCCTTTCCTCAGCAGTCCTGACCTGACCATAGAAGCAGCAAGATGTGACTGCCCTGCTGAATAAGGTACTGAACCACATGGCTAACACAGACAAGAATAATGGGCTAACATCAGTTGTAAGAGTTAATAAGAAGCCTGAGCTAATGGGCCAATCAGTTTATAGTTAATGTAGACCTCTGTGTGATTTCTTTGGGACTTAATGATTGCGGGAACTGTGCAAGACAGAAAACTCAGTCAACATACATTACCATTAATTCTTTTTCTAACTGTTTCTAGAAAGGGTCTCATGTAGCCCAGACTGACGTTGTTACAGAGAATGTCCTGGAACTCTTGATTCTCTTATCTTTGCCTTTTGTGTACTAGGATTACAAGCATGTGCCACTATTTCCAGCTTCCATTTTTATATAACATAAAAATTATTTCCAGTATTTCTGCTGTAATGTAATATGTACACAGTTCATCCTTAGTATTCACCAGTTATCTTCTACAAAGTGATATTGAACATTGAATTAAGAAATACCAAACAGCCGGGCGGTGGTGGTGCAGCCTTTAATCCCAGCACTCGGGAGGCAGAGGCAGGCGGATCTCTCTGAGATCGAGACCAGCCTGGTCTACAAGAGCTAGTTCCAGGACAGGCTCCAAAACCACAGAGAAACTCTGTCTCGAAAAACCAAAAAAAAAAAAAAAAGAAAGAAAGAAAGAAAAGAAATACCAAACAATGCCCCCAAATGAATCCTGCAAGCCTCTGCTCACAAATTTTTTCAACCTATCAATAAATCTTCTTTTTGTTTGTGTTTCTATTTAAAGATATTTTATTTGATAGACACACCTCACTCAGTATCCTTGAACTCAACCAACTGCATCACTGCTGAGGCCTGATCAAAGTTTCTCTATCAGATATATTTTCTCCAAAAAGCACATCACAAACAGTGCTCTAGGACATAGGAACAAGGACACTTTGAAAAGCAAAATTACCAACAAAAGGAACACAGGTTTGGGGTTTTGTTTTTAGTGAAGAACTAAATAAAACAGGAAAAAGTCACTTGCTCACAGTATGACCATGGAAACGCAAAGGTTACCTTCTCTGACCACAGCTGCCAGATGTGTTCCTAATGACTCGAACTTTTCACCATTCTACACAATTTCCAAGTCAGTGACTAACCTTTAAAGTGCCACTACTGACTTGGTACTATATATAGTTAGGTTCTTGAAAGTCCCCTAAAAATCTGAGTATTGCATATTTTATCCTCAAGGTGGCGCTATCAAAAAGAAGTGAAACCTTGAGCAGGAGCTGAGGGGGAGGGGGTTGGTCCTTAGATGATAAACTGTGTGGGCCCCAAAGGAAAGTACTAGGCCCCAGCTCCTTCCCCTCACTCCCCTCTCATGTCCTGGCCATGAAGTAAGTGTCTGTTCCACCACACAATCGTACCACAATGTACACTGTCAAATCCCAAAGCAAGGTGGCTAATTGATCACAGACTGAATTCTCAAAAACCATGAACCCAATAAGCCCTCCTTTTTACATTGACTAGATAAGCTATTTTGTTACAGGGATGCTCTACTGAAGAACACAGAAAATGGCAAATTTTAGTGAATAGGCAAATTTGTAAATACGGTTCACAAATAAGTATGAGCTTCTTTCTGTGTTCTATAAAAGGAAACAGTCAGATTGTCAAATAATAATAATAACCAAAATCATTGGTCCTCCTGAGAGACAGAATAGACAAAAGAAGTAAACAGCCTCTGTGGTTGTCATCATCCAGATGTGTAACAGTAGCTGCAGAGTAACTTTTATTCACAAGTGGCAATCAAAGCAATCTGTAGGTGGCAGCAGCTCTCTGAGAAAGGAGGGCCATGGATATCATCAAAAACAGTAGGACAGACTACTGATAGCCAAGAGGCATGCAAAGCTGGCAGCACAGTGACCTGGGCAAGGAGCACTGGGAAAAGACACTCACTTAAGTTTTTCTTAAAACACAGTCTAAATGGATCTTGCTGCCAGGACAGTAAAAGTCTTGAATGTCTTAGATAACAATTCCATTCCAACTGTTCAGACTCCCCTGGCCTGGAAACCCACCGATCATAAACCTCCCATATTCTGCCACCCTCTGAGTCTCATTCCCAGATCACATAGGAGTCCATTTGAGGCACAGAAAAAAAAATTGCAGCAGGATCAATGTTCACTCAGGTTAACAGAAAAAAATAAATGACTTCTACAAAGACATGAGCCTGGAAAATGCACCAAATAAAAATTACTTTGGCAAAAAGCATGGAAATTTGAATTATAGTATGAAGGCCACAAAAGGCTAGGAATCAATGGTTAAAACATTGAAGGTGGTTATAAAAATACTTCTGTTCAGACCTCTCTCATTGCTTTATATATTAACGAATCTAGAAGACTCAACCATGTCCTGATGAAACTTCACTTTAATCAACTAGAAAAGTCACTATGAACAAAATATGGTAATCACCTTACAAGCAATAAAATGGCCACAATGATTGATTTTTTGACCATCTGTGCAACTCAGCTGTTTTAAGTTTCAAAGTTTGATGTCTGAGCTGTGCCAAGTTGAAAACTACACCTACTGATGAGTATCCAGGGAAGAAACACATTGCATAAGTCAGTAGCAACCAATACCATAACCAAAAATATAAGGGAAGGAATAAAATTAGAAAGCTGGTAGCATTCTCATTTTCACAAAACAACATGATCAAAACCTCTTATAGTAAGGAAACTCTCTGATGAGAAAAGATGACAGGTTGTAGACACACAATTCAGAGGTCTTGTCAAAAGACAAAAAAACACCTCAGTTAATGGAGGAATAGAGATTTGGTTCTGCTACTAAAGGAAAATTGGTGCTGGACAGAGTGGCTCATGCATGTAATCCCAGTACTCGTTAGATGTGGCAGAAAGACTGCCATGAATTCAAGATGGGGCTACAAACTGAGACCTATCTCAAAAAGTGGGGAGGGGACTACCTGAAATCTAACCAAGTCTCTACTGCAGCACCTACTCCAGGCTATAGTGCTACAATGAAAAAGTCAATCCAGAGAATAAACCCATCAGCAAGCTTTTCACTTAGGGGAGAGGTGAAGGGGTGTGTGTGTGTACAGACAAGTGCCAGGGGGCAAGCCTAGGTGCTGCACTTTGCCCCCTACCTTTTTTGAGACAAGATCTATTATTCATCACTGTGTACACCAGGCTACCTGGCTCCCCAGCTTCCTGGGCTTCCCCTGTCTCATTCACATCTCATCATAGGAGCTCTGGAATTATACATAAATATGTTACCACAACCAGTTTTACAGGGTCATGGGGATCTGAATTCAAGTCCCATGATTGCAGGACAAGAGCTTTTCCCATTGAGCCTTCCCCACAGTGCATTCATCTGCAGACATTGATGGAGAATGTCAGGTATGACTACTAGACCCAGAATTAGTAGGGAAAAATAATCAACTGAGTTTTGATTGCCTCCCAGGTACCCCCAAAGGAGTCGCTGATGTCTCTCTTGGAACAAGGAGAAAGGACCAAGGGATGACTGCAAAGGGTACAAACAGAGAAAACATGGGCAAGGAAAATGAAGGGAACTCTGCCCAGTGAGATAGCACAAATAGAGGAGTAACTGGAGTCCAGCCAGATATGGGAGCTTCATGCTGAGACTAAGCCTTACAGATGCTCTTTTGCCTTAAGGCATTAGATAAAAGTCCTAGGTGCCCTGCATGTTTTCCAAAGTCCCTTTGTAGGTAAATAGTGGTTGTATAGGAGAGAGTCTATCTTCTCATGCAGAGTATCACCAGCATGAGCTAGGGAAAATTCTGGTCCTTCCTCTCTCTTCTGGGCATTGTCATCCATTGCTGCTTCAATCCCCTTCACCTCTGTGAAGTCTGTAGTGTGGATAAGTCACCTGATTAATGATCAACTCTATCAGCTCAGTATGGTGTAGGAACCCTACGTCATCATTTGCACCACTTATTTTTAGTCTTTCTTCCCAACAGGTACATTTTGCTTGGCAGATGATAGCTCTGCTTATGACCTTGAGGCCATTGTATCAAAGAAAGACAGCATCCTCCAGTCTGAATCTGAGATCCCTTGTTGATCTGAATCACCTACATCAAGTCTCTGCAAATCCACCATACAGGAAAAGTCTGACCATATAATTTTGTAAATCAAGTTTTATCAGCATACAGTCATGCCCACTTTGGCTCTGGAAAATGAAGTCTAGTGAAGTCCACTCTGTAGAAAGGAAAAACAACTCCAGTGGTGAAGGGGATTGAAGCAGCAATGGATGACAATACCCAGAAGAGATAAGAAGGACCAGAATTTTCCCTAGCTCATGCTGGTGATACTCTGCATGAGAAGACAGACTCTCTCCTATACAACCATTATTTACCTACAAAGGGACTTTGGAAAGCATGCAGGACACCTAGGACTTTTATCTAATCCCTTAAGGCAAAAAGTATCTGTAAGGCTTAGTCTCAGCATGAAGCCTCCAAGAGACTGGGATCAAAGTCTTCAACAGCAGATGAAAACAGACTCTATCCCGTAAA